TTTTTATAACGTATAAATAAAAGCGTTTTTAACATTATATTAATTAATTTTTAAATTAAATTATATTATAATAATTATTATAATTTTAAACGTTTTAATTATTAAAATAATTATATAAATATTATTTAAAATATTTTTATATTAAAAATTTCCTTTTATTACCACTTTAAATTTATATATTTTTAAATAATTATTAACGTTAAATTTATAAATAAATATTTATTTTATTAATATTAATATTAATTTAATTATATTAATATTAATAACTTTTTAAACGTTTTTATTAATTATAGTTTATATTTTACTTTTTATATTTTTTTTAAATTATTTGTTTAAAAGATAATTATTTAAATCTTTTTATTTTTTAAATTTTAACTTTAATAAAATTATTTTATAAATAATATTTTAATTAATTATTATTTATAATTTAAATATATATTTAATGTTTAATATAATTGTTATAATAATGTATATTATTTTATATTTATAATTTCTTTTATAAATTACTTTTTATTAATTAAATAAAAAAATCTTTAAAAAATCTTAAAAAAATTAAACTATTAATATAATTATTTTATTTTACTTATATTTTATAATAATTAAAATTATAATTAATAAAATTACATTTTTTACGTTATTATCTTTAAAAAGATTTTTATTTTTTAATTATTAATTTTATTTCGACATTATAAACCACTTTTTTTTATTATATTTCCGGTTAAGTTTTTTAATTAATATATCCACTTTTTAAAAAATAAAAAAATCCGGGGTTATTTTTGTAAATAATTAATTTACGGTAAATTTTAATAATTTCTTTACGTTTTTTTTTAAAAAATTATTAACGTTTTATAATATATTTTTTACCATTTTAAATTATTATTTTAACTTAAATATTTTTTTAAAAGTTATAATCTTTTATTATTAATTTATTATATTAACGTTTATTAATTTAAATATTATTTTAATTTATATTTTAATATAACGTAAATTATTATTTTTAACTTTTTTCTTCGGTTAACTTTTTAAAATATTTAATTTTAAATTTAATTTATTTTTTTTATTTTAAATTATATTAATTATAAAATTATAAATAAAAAATCTTTTATCCCATTTATTTAACTAATTTAAAATTATTTATAAAATATTATTTAATTTTTTTTATATTATATTAACATATATTAATTTTTTCTTAAATATATAAAATAATTATAATTTTTATTTTAATTTATAAAATAATTTTTTATTAAAATAAATATCTTTTATTAAAATAATTTTTTTTAATAAAGTATTTATATATAATATATATTAATAATTTTATAATTAATTAAATATTTTATATATATTTTTAATTAAACCTTTTTATTTTATTTATTTTTTATATTAATTACGTTTTTATTAAATAAATATATTTTATAATTATAAATATAAATATATTTTTAATATAATTTTAAATTAATTATTAATATTTTTATTACTTTTAAAAAATATTATTTAAAATATTAATAAAATTAACTTTTTAATATTTTTATTAATGATTTATAATTATTATATTAATTAAGGTTTTAATTTAATAAATAAGTTATAATTTTAACGCATTTTAATTATAATTTTTTTAATAAATTAACGTTTAATTGTATTTTAATAAATTTAATTTAAAACTTTTATTTTAATTTTTTTATATCGTTTATTAATTTTTTTATAAACGGTAACGGTAACTTTAAATTTAATCTTTTTTTATATGTTTATTAAATATATTAAATAATTTTTTATATATTAATTATTAAAATATTATTATTATATTTTAATTTATATACTTTTAATTTAAATTAATAGTTAATTTAATTATTTATTTAATTAATTTTCGATATAACATTTTTTTATATTTTATTAAAAATTATATAAATTATAGTAAATTTTAAATATTTATTTAATATAATTAATATTTATAATATTTTATTATATTTAATTAAAAAATCGAATAAATTTTAAGATATTTTTTAAAATAATTATAAAAAATAACGTTTTAATCTTTTTTTAAAAATAATATATTTAATTTATATTTTAATATATATTTTATATTTAATTATAAATTTCTTTTTAATTTTAATTTTTTTAATATTATATATAAAAACTTTTAAAATATTAAGTTTTAAATAATTTAATTTTAAATATTAAAACTTTTTTATATTTTTTTTTTTTAATAATAATGTATATAACCTTTTTAACGTAATTAATATAAAATAAATTATAAAATTAATTATATTATTATAAATTTTAAATATAATTAATATAAATATAAATGGTAAATAAATTTTAATAGGTTTATATTTAAAAAATAAAAGGTTAATATATTTAATTAATTTTTTAAATAATATATTTTTATTTTTTAATTTAAACTTTAAAATATAAGATTTATTATAATATTATATATTAACTTTTTTTTTAAAAATAATTTTTAAAATAATATTAATATAAAACCTTTTTATTACGATTATGTTAATAAAGGTTAAATCTTTAATATTAAATTTATTTAATTTGTTTAATATTTTTTTTAATATTTTAATGCCTTTTTTAAAGATAAAAAAAATTAAAGTTTTAACTTTTACCATTTTTCTTTTTTTAACCTTTTTTTAAATATTAAATTTTAAAAAAACTTTATTATTAATTAAATATATTATTTTATAAATATTTAAAATAATATTATTAATTAATAAATAACAATTAAATTAAATTATTATAAAATATATTTTATAAGTAAATTAATATTATATTTTTATTTAATTAATAATAATTATAATTATTAAATTATTTAAATAATTTTTTTATTTATTTAATTAACGTTTAAATTTATTATTTTTATTTAATTAACGATTTTTATAATTAAATTTACCTTTTTATTTAATATATTAATTTTTTAAAGTAATTTAATTTTTAAATACTTTTTATTTTAAAAATTAATAACGTTTTTTGATTTTTTTACATTTGTTTTTATTAAGTATTTTTTATAAGTTATAATTATTAATTTTTATAATAATAAATTAAAAAACTTTATAAATGTTAAAACATTAAATATAAATATTTATTAATTTATTTAAATAAAAGTAATTATATTTTTTATTTATTAAAATAAATGTATTAATTTAAGTTAATTTTAATAACGTATTTATTAAATATATTTTCGGTTTTATTAATAATTTTTAAAATAGTTTATTATTTTTAAAAATAGTTAAAAATTATAAAAAATATTTTTTAAGTAATTTTAACGTTTTTTTTATTTATTTTATAATTATAAATTCCTTGATTTAATAAATATTTTAATTAATAACTTAATAAATTTTAATTATTTTTAAGAAATTTAAAGTTATAACGTTTTTATTAACTTTTAAAATTTTATAAATATATACGTTTTTATATAAAATATATTATTTTTAATATTATTTATAAAATTTTATTTTATTAAAATAAGTTTATTATAAATGTTTTTAATAATCTTTTTTTAATTTTATAATAATTAATAAAATAATTAATTAAAAGTATTTTTTAATTATATAAATAATGTTAATTATTAAAATAAAATTATTAATGGTATATTTAAATATAATAAATAATAAAATTTTTTTTTTAATAATTTTTTAAATAAAATAAAATATTTAATTTATAATTGTAATAATAGTTATTTTTTTTATTTAAACGAAGGTATATTATTTTATAATTTTAATGTATAATTTATTAAAGTTTTTTTCGATAAATATAATAATTTATATATTAATAATTTTAATATTATTATTATTTTAAACTTTTTACATAATTTTTTTTTAAATTATTATTTTTTATTTTTTTATAAATTTTAATGTAAGAAATTTCGCTTTAATAATAAAAATAATAATAAAAATCTTTACGATAATAATAATGGGAGTTATGGTAATAATAATAATGGTGGTAATTAAAGTAATAATAATAATAACGGTTATTTTAAAAATATATTTATTTAAATTAATTTAATTTTAAATATTAAATTATATGGCATTTTATTTTATTATTATAATTTAATAAAAATAATCTTATTTAAAATTTAATTAAAAGGTAAAAATAATTAAATATATTTTAAATAAATCTTTATTATAAATATTTATTATAAAAAAGTTAAATAATTATTATAATAATTAAATAAAAAAATAAAAAGTAAAATAAAAGAAAAAAAATAAAATAAATATTTTTTTCTTATATTATTATATATTTAAATTATAAATTTAAATATAAACTTAAATTTATAATTATTAAAAGTTATAAAAATATATAATATATATAAATAATATAAATAAATAAAAAAAATTTATTTTTTTTAAAATAAAAATATACGTAATATATCTTTTATATATTTATTTTAATTATATAATAATTATAATTATTATATATATAATTATAATAATGGTTATATTATATATAACGCATGCGTCATATGTATCACGTGAGCCGTGTCGACGGTTACTTTTTATACGATATATTATCGTTTAAGTTTTTTTTTTTTTATTATTATTATTATTACGGTTACCGTTATTACGGTTAACGCGTTACGGTTAATGCGTTACGACCGGTATTACGATTAATATTAATTATTTTTAACATTTTTAAAAAGTTTAAAACGCGTGGATTTAATCGGTAAATTTAATAAAAAAGTTAATACGATTATTTAATTAATTATTATTTATTTTACGCGTATTAATGTTATTATTTTTAATAATATTTTTAATAATGTTTTTTTATATAATAAGTTAATTGTTTATTAAGCGTTCGCTTATAATAACTTTAAACTAAAGTTTCGATGTTTTTTTAAAGGGTTTATACGGGTTATGATTGGCTAAAGAGTGGTGTGGTTATAAGGGGTACATCTCCCCGAACTAAACATCGAAGAATTTAGTCTAAGGTTATTTGAGATAACGTTTAATTGCAAAAATACCATTTAATACCAATACTATTGGTAAATGTAGCTACCGTCTTTCTTTCGTACTAAAATGCGCAACTATTCAGACAATTAGACCGTGAATATACGGTATCAATACGGTCCTAGGATCCTATATACTGACGCTAATGTACTTCCTATCTTTATGTAACCTTAGATCAAACTATTAACTTGGAAGTCGCGACGCAATCACTTACGAGATAATATGGAGATACTTATCTCTTAGCTTTTTTTCTTCTAACACATCGGAGTCATCCGATGAACACTCACCTACTCAGAGGATGGCCTACTTAAATCAGTACGACAACACCAAGTTTCGTTTATTCGTAAACTTGGTAAGGGTAACTGCAGGACATCTCAGTCGGCCGATCTGCTGAAAAACTTCTGGAGTCAGAATCGGAATTGAAGGACTACTACATACCGCAACAGTAAGCCGATTACAATCAAAATCAAAATGGCCTCAGAAAAACCAACAGGTCAACAGACTATTACCACTTCTGGTATTCGCGATGTGGAAGCGGTGGAACTAAATATCAAAGATGAGGCTGGAGCCTTGGCTGCAAGAGCGTTAACGAGCGATTCCGTGGACAAGGAAACCTCTCGAAAAGTTCGACGAAAGATTGACATTCGCATCTTACCTTTCCTTTGCGTTACCTACGCTTTGATGTTCATCGACAAGACCTCCTTAGGCTACTCTTCGGTGTATGGTATCATACCCGATAATAAACTACAAGGCCAGGATTACTCTTGGGCCAGTTCTATCTTCTACTTCGGTATAGCTTTACTGGCGCCTACACAGATCACGGACGCTAATAATAACAGGATATCTTGTCGCCGAATACCCCGGAATCGCAATCATTCAGAGGTTCCCAGTAGCCAAATTCCTCGGAGTTAACATAGTACTATGGGGTACTATCCTCATGACAACAGCAGCATGTTCATCCTTTGCCAGCCTCGCTACCGTACGATTCTTCTTGGGAGTAGTCGAGGCGACGGTTTCACCCGGCTTCGTCGCCGTCACTGGAATGTGGTGGAGTAGGCAAGAGCAAGCAGGCCGATCGGCCCTCTGGATCTCTTTCCTTGGGGTTGGCAATTTTGTCGGAACACTCCTAGCCTATGGCATCGGCCACATGCAAGGATCTCTGTCTACTTGGTATGGGATTTCACCCACTTCCGTATATCCTAAGAGGAATTCCGCCCAGGCAGCATTCTTGCTCTTATATCAAAACTAATGTTTGCCTTATTGTAGTTATTGATGCTAACTCTACTCTAGGAAGTACATCTATCTTATTCTAGGGAGCCTTACCATCGTATGGGGTGTGGTCTTCACGCTTTTCGTACCCGATAGCCCAGCAAGTGTCCAATGGTTGGACGAGGACGAAAAAGTCATCGCCATTCAACGAGTAATCGAAAATAAGACCGGCACCAAATCTCGCCGTATCGTCAGCAACCAGGTCATAGAGGCGATTACTGACCCTAAAGTAATTGTCTTAGGTTTGATATCCTTCGTCAATGCCATTGCGTCTGGTGGGCTAAGCTTTGGCTCCCTTATAATCTCCGGCTTGGGATTTGATCCACTACAAACCACCCTGTTGAACCTACCCGGTTCCGCAGTCCAACTTATAGCGCAACTCGGCTCTGGAGTTATCACTTCTTACATTAGTGGTTTTCGTCTACACATTGGATCTCTGGCTATGATTCCGCCGGTATGTGCAATTCTACATCATGACGACAGGACGTTAAACTAACCATGTATAAGATCATAGGAACAGTCTTAATCAATCAACTCCAGCCAACGAACAAATGGGGACGTCTTGTAGGAGCATGGTTATTGGTAAGTACCGCGACCTTCAGCCTACGAATATTTAAATGCGGGGCTACGTGCCCGATCCAAACTCGGATCTTATAAATAGATCTTCTTATGCGTTCGTTTCTAATTTCTATAAAAAAAATTAGGGCTCTTATCTCGTGGGGTTTATGATAATTCTTGGCCTACTCGCAACCAACATCGCAGGTAGCACTAAGAGATCCGTAGCCTCAGGCTGGGTATTCGTCTGCTACTGCATTGGTCAAATCGCCGGGCCGCAGTTCTTCGTGAGCAAGGAAGCCCCTGCCTACCGTGGTGGTATTGTAGCCATGCTCTGCGGCTTCATCCTGAATCTGGTCCTGAATCAAGTTCTGCGTTTACTCTACGTACTCGAAAACAAGAAACGAAATAAGATGTTAGAGGGCAAATCAGAGGATGAGCTTGATGCGATGGAAAAGGAAAGTAATCTACAGGGTTTCGAAGACGTCTCTGATAAAAACAACGTAAGTCTTCCCTGAGCCTAGGCAAGACGATCAGAATTCTAACACCAAGCAGGCTATGTTTCGTTACACGTTATAGTCAATCACCTAGTCCCCGAACCTATATTACATAGTCAGGATCTGTGTTAGCCTACTCTACTACTGGAGCCAAAGTATGTAGCTGTTGCATTTCTCCTCGACTACGTGTAATTAACTCGCATCAAACGTTCGCGTCTTTAGCAGTCTCTTGCTGCTGCATAGAGACTCTGGGTTTCTCTTCTATGCTGTGTGCATCCGTAATGCCGAGCATTTGTCCACCCTTCTCTACGTGATTCTGCCCGCCGAACAACGCGTCGATTTCCTCTAGTGGAATTTTCATCGTCTCGGGGATGCAGAACCATACGAAGACAGCCAAAAGGAAGTTTGCTGCCATGAAGAAGAATAAACATTTTAAACCTTCCCGAGCAAGGAAAATAGGAAAGAATTGTTGGAAGATGGTGTTGGCAACATTCTGCATTTGGGAGCACATTCCGACCGCCTGTGCCCTAACGTTCATACTGAACACCTCCGACGTCCATATCCATGTCGTTGCTCCCCACGAAGGTTTGTAGAAGAATATGAAAAGGAATAGGAGGAAGACTATGGCTATACCAACAGGTTCCGTCTTTGTAGCTGTGCCTGTGGCTCCGACAACATCGGGTGTCGTCATACCGATAATAGGAACAATTAACATGCAAATTCCCATTCCGATCGCACCCACGATAAACAGCCATCGCCGGCCGAATCTATCCGCGGTCCAGACGGCATTGAGGGTAAATAGTATACCACATGTTGCATTTAAGGCGTTAATCAAGTTTATCGTCTGCGTCGAAGGCCAGATCGTCTTGTATATCGCGCTCGAGTACGAGTTTAACGTGCCCTGGCCGGAAAGCTGCTGTCCGACGTTCAGGATGAAGGCAAGATAAAGCCTCTTGCGTACGGACGGGTCCTTGAAAAGAGCCAGGTATGAGCCACTCGCAGCTTCCTTCTCAAACTCAATGGCTTCGCGTATACTCAAGACTTCGAATTCGACGTCCTGCTCCGTCTCCCGGATCTTGCGCAGTGCCTTTTTGGCCTCCTCGACGTTGTTGTGGCGCTTGATCCACCAGCGCGGAGACTCGGGTTGGAAGGGCAGGAGCACGATGATGATGATTGGTACTAGGATCTGGAAGATGACGACCATGCGCCAGTCCCAGTGGCCGAGCTTCTCTTTGTTCGCGTTGCACGCGTATGCGATCCAGTACGCGATGAAGGACCCTACGCTGTAGAACATCTGCCAGAACGCCATGATCTGCCCGCGGATCTCCGGGGGCGAGACTTCGCCGATGTAGATGGGCCCGGCGGCTGGTGGGGTGTTAGTCCAAGCATGTATGTGTATGTGGGTGGATTTTACGCACTGAGAGCCATGCCCTGCCCGATACCGATCAGCACGCGGCCGCCAATAAAGCACCCGAGATTATGCCACGGGGCGAATGCTTGCATGAATGTAGCGGCGATGGTCAGTATACATCCTATACCCATACCGACTCGTCGACCGAAATAGTCCGCCTGGATACTTGTTAGCGTTGGCACATATACAGCTTGAATTAGACGCTGATGTATAAGGGGACGTACAACTGGACCGCCGAAGAACCAACCCGCAACGATAGCGCCGATAGTATAGGCCGTATTAATCAGGCCTATCAGGTTCGCGTCTCTCGTCTTTAAGCCGGACGTGTTAGCTTAACTTCAGATGTCAGTCTATCGTATAGGGATCCTTACAGTATCAAGGTTGAACCACTCAAGCCAATTGTCGGAGCCCTGCGCCGCGTTGAAGACTGAGGCGTCGTAGCCGTACAGGACCATGCACATGGCCGCCACGAGGGCGATGTACCTACTCAGTCTTAGTTTTGTATTCCTCGTTGATTGGTTACGAACCCAGAAACTCACCAGTTGTAAAGCCTCTTCGAGCTCACCATCTTGACGCTGGTGCTAGCAAAGGCGTTCTTCTTCTTACGTGTCTCTGCTCTTGCCCTCACGATACCTCTGGATAATGAGGCTGTGGTAAAGGGGGAGAGTTGACAAATAGCAAAATATATATTTAGGAGAGCAATTAGTCTTTATATACATACGTATAAACCCAATGGTCGAGGTTCGATCAGCGGAGAACAGCCAACCCACCAGATTCCACGTACGCAAGCCAGGGTCTCCCTCTCGCCTGCAGGCCCGTCTCCTCTTTTCCGTCGGCGATACTCAGCAGGATAGATTCGCTAAGCAGCACCTCGCTCATTCAGCTGAACGCAGTGGGGAAACCTCGCCCAAGTGACCAGATCGCATCCACCAATCGTAGATTCTATCCGCCACTAATTCTTTCGTTCTTTTATACAGCTAGCAGCGAGCTCCCCCAGGCCGTGGGGCTGGGGTAGCGGCTACTACCCCAGACCCATGGCCGGGGTGGTTGCAACTAGTATGGGGAACATTGTCCAATGCTGAAAATTCCACCACTCACAATTTTTCCGTGTGCGGCGGCCGCAACCCTGTTATCGCTAGCTCCCCTGCGGTAAAGGCTTGATTGAGATTGGCATTGTTCCTCGGTTCGCGCCGGAAGAGGTGGAATCTACCTAGTATTCTATATAGTCGGATTAGATCGGTGCTCTATAATGAGTATACTTGTTGTGGTGTTAGAATTTATAGTATTTGTTGATAGTCAGGCAAGGTCCCAAACAAAATGAATTAGTGGTTCGTTAATTATGCCTTAGTTCAAAGCTATTATTACAGTGACCTCTTATATGGCCTGCATAATTCGAATATTTTAGCTTCATTATGTCTTTTACATGGTATATCAAGAAGGCTTCTTATCAGATGGTGTATAAAAGAATATACTGTATTGATTTTACATTGACAGAAAGTTGATTGACACTTAATCGCCCAGTACGACCAATACCGATACCAATACCAATGAGCAATGCTATAAATAAAAAGGAAACGCGGATTGCCTATCATTCATTCAAACATTCCGTCATCTGTCCGAACAGTTACATCTAAACGCCAAAATAAAAAAGAAGCAATGGTATCTACCGACGAATATTTCCCACACATATACCTTCCCATAATGGCATAAAAGCTTCAAGGTAATCCTCCCAACCTATGTGGAAATGGCAATGCAAGAAACAAGAAAGAAACTCCCGTCTAACCCTGCATAACTTATGACTGCCCGCCCCAGTGGAAACCCTGATTCCCGTTGCCCATGATATTCGGATACGCCATTCCCATGTTCAAGTACGTGTCTATATCTGTCATTCCTTCGTTCTCCAGAACGTCCATAAGCTCGATTTGTTGCTGTTGGCTTAAGCTCCCCTGCCGCTCCGGTGGGAGCCCGTTGGAAAACGGCATATTGCCCATGTTAATATCACCAAGGCCGTTTGCGCTGGAATCGCTCCAGAAGTTACTACCTAATCCGTTGCCGAAGGCGTATGGTGAGATGAACGGCGGCGGGGGATTGAACCAATCTGTAACTGTAGTTGGCTGAGGCAGAGGTCGTTGACCTTGTAGTTGATGGTGTGGTAAAGGGGGGGGGATAGTAAAAGCTGGCGGGGCTGTACGCGATTGCGGGGGAGGCACCGTATTAGGCGTCGCAATATCAGAGGGGGTCTGAGCTAGACTCGAAGTCGAGAGCATCGGTGTGGCAGGAAGTGGTGTTCCCATAGCTGAAGGAGTAGCAGTGCTTGTAGATACAGATTCCGGGGAAGTCGGGATATGTTGTGCGGGGGATGAGAATGGCGGCGACACTGTTGTATCACTATCTGGTGGGCTGTGCTCTTCCATGAGCGTCAAGTCTCCCTGAGTGAAGTCGGGAGGGAAGTAACTGAAACGACGTCCGGTATGGTCACTAGAGGCCGGGTTTAGGAAGATCGAATTCGATCTGAACGTGGGGTGTGTGATGTAGTTATTCTCAACCCCGTAATTATTCATCTCTTCTGGACCGGAGCCAAAAACGTAGCCAAATTGTGGTGGGTTGAAAGGAGAAACACCAACATTGGATACGTTTGTCCCGCTTGAAATGTCAGACGCAGAAGGTGAGTTCGTATCCGTTTGAGACGGTGGGGTATTAAAGGCACTTGAGTTCGACTGGGTTGGCGTTTCGTTCGAATCGTAACTTTGAAGGCATGCTTTCGTAAAAGTAGAGTATAATTGAGATGCTGCGGCGGTTCCTGGCCATCTTTCAACGCACTGGTCAATTATATCCAGCGATATATTGACTAGTTCCTGTACATCGTCGCGGGCGTGCAACGCTCGAACTTCGGGGTAGGTAACAGTCCATAAAATAGTGTTGAGAGACATGTAAAGGGTCAGTATAAAAACCCATGTAATATCGACGGCCGCTGCCATCATCTGTTTACTGGAGATTTGGATAACAAATGCAGCGGAATCGAAGCACTTCTTGGCCGAACGCACGGACGGCTTCGGCACTTGGGGAGACGGTCGATGAAGTGTCATTATCATAACATGAAATCGCCCTGAAAACCTATAATTGTTTTAATGAGACTACTAGAACTTGATTTGGACGCTGGGATCGAATACGTACCAGGGCTTGCACCATGCTGGGTTTTCGGGAGATTCCTTAAGCCACTGATCCATCTTGGCCTCCATTCCCCCGAACCACGGATGGCGGTCGTCCTTAGGCTCCAGGTACTTCTTTTCGTACAAGATCCGTCGGATTTCAGACTGGAGTTGTCGCATCTTGCAGAAGTGTATAGCAACTAGTTTCTTCTCGTCCGGAGGTCCGGGGATAATTCCGTCTTCGCGGATATTTGCGTCGCTTACGGTCTCAAAGAACCTTACATCATTTATATCATCGCTTTTAGCAAACCCGTTCGGACGGCCCATAACGTGGGCCATGCCGAGTTCTAGGTTGCTAACTATCCAACTTAGTCGTCGCCGCATGTCCAGGGTCAGCGGGTCACTAACGCCTAGGGAAATGGTCTTCTCGTCAGCTAAGCCTAGTTGCTGACAGATCCTCGTTGCTAAGCCGACGACGTAGTAAACAGCAGTTCGGGTGGGTGTCAGCATTGAATATTGACCGATCAAGACGAGGCATTGAAGAGTCTTGAGATCCTTGGGCCGGACGACATCTTCAAAGTATTTCATTGCAGCTTGATAATAGCTATCAGCAAGTCCTGCATATGTCGTGTCTAATTTCTGCATGCTCGTCGCCATGACTAATCGCACAACAAAGTTTTGGTATGGATCTGTGCTCCCGGCGTAAACGTCTTCAACCGTCCTCTCTAGTACCTTCTCGTGAAGAGTTGGAGTAAATACTTGAGCTAGAGTGGGCGGTTAGCCTAGGCCTTCTCTGCTGCTTAAGGGGCACGAGTGAATAACTCACCCCGTTGATGGAAAACCTCTACCAATCTATCAGCGATACCTCTACTCGGGAGGTTCTGCGCCGGAACGCCACTGATAACGGGATAGCTTTTCTTTCTTGACGACATTGGGGGCGGCATGGTGAAGGATTGTGACCGCGCCCCTGAAAAACTCGCGCCGGGCGCCGCGGTTTGGCGGCGGTCCCGTAAATCTGGTATCAGCTCTGATATACGCTTCGAGTCGGTGTACCGTTTAGCCTCCTCCATAAGTATACGCGTCATGGCAATACCACTAGAGGGGCCGAGATACCGCGGGGTCTCATCAGTTTCGTTCAGGCGGACTAAACCACCTGGCCGGATGAAATCTTCGTGGTTTTTAGGGAAGTCATCATCGTCAGTATACTGGCCAAGTTCGGCCTCAAGCTGCCTAACTTTCTCTTGGAGTTTGACAACATAATATCGGCTAATCCTCTTTCCTTTTGTCGTATCAAAGTACTCGCAGGCAGAGCCGGACCTCTCGCAAGGCAAACAACGAGGCAGCGTGGGGTCACAACGTGTTTTTCTCTAAGAAACGGCCAAGTCAACTTAAACAGTCTCGAAAGAGAGGAAGCCCGAAATCTCTTTTACCGGAGCATGGATGGGGTAGGTAAGCACTCACCTGGCGACACCGACAGCAAGCTGTTAGCGTATGCGCAATGCGGTGCGAGGCTTCGCCGTCGCCGTTCTCTTCTGTCTTGACGGGTTTCTTCTGTTGCCATTGTTGCGGCGGTCTCGAAGTATGGGACGTAAACCCTTGGACCTGACGAAAGACATTTGAGGCATCCATGGGCGACTCTAGTATAGGTTCGTGTTGTTTCTGATCGCTCCTGTTGTGGGATAGAGCCTTGGGCTTTTTGCTCTGGCCCCCAGGCACGTGGGGGAGATCAATCGTTGGTCGCACGCAACTTCGAGGACTCGAAGCGTCGGGAATGAAAGCGGGGCGAACGAATTGAACAAAGCGATTATATTGCTGCTGTTGCTGCTGCTGCTGCAGTTGAAGTTTTACTTTATCATGATTTCGATTTTTGGAGACGCCGCCGCAGAATGCTTCGTAAATGTGGCTGTAGAAGGGAGAGTCGTCGCCGTCGAGCTTGTAATATCCGTTCTCAGTTTGAGAACACATTCTTACGTATCCGTACTTATCGTACGAAATGCGTTGTGCATATACATGTATATCTCGTATCTACTTAGCGTCAACTACTTGAATATTAGCTTACTTGATAGGCTAACAATAATGTACTGTCAGATTGAGAATACCTGATAAGATAGTACCCAGCCACTAACTTGTAGCTACAAGGCTAACAAGAGGGGAGCGACCGTAGAACCGTAGAACCGTAGAACGCGGACTACGTATAATGGAGTACCGATTGGCCCCGCGAGTATAGAAGGTGCGCACCTAAGGTATACATCAATGTAATTTTACTTACTATAGGAGGTATGTAACTGGTTGAAATGTAGCAACTTCCATGAATCAATTTCATGGGAATTAAACTCTACATAACTTAGTCCCCATGATACAGTCAACCTTAACTACCTACCTAACACATAGTTAGCCCATTCAGTAGCCAAATCGTCCGAATCACCCGACTCCTAAAGTTTCTCCTGTCATCCGTTTCGTTTCACCTTTTTATTCCTTTATCGGCTTCACGTCGGGCTCGGTCAATGGCTGGTCGATGGAGTATTGATGAACACTATCGACGGCTACGATTCCGTTTCGTTCGTTCGTGCATCTCATCTCGCTTTACAATATAAACTTGGTTTCTATAAGATCCCGGCCGCTACGACTTTGACTTACACGCATGCGGCAAAAGTGCCTACATAGTAGGATTTCTTCCTGGTACAACTGCAAGAATCCGTTTCTATTCTTGGAAACCCTTCCTCTGCTTTTACTAGGCACATTTCCCAATCGAGGTTATCCTGGAACAGTAGCATCGGTTTTAAGGGAGTCAATAATGTGCTTACCGACGATGATTGATGTAACCGGACTTCTCTAATTTTTTTCTTCCTACACCCGACCAACGGTCTGGTACTACCTATTCATGCATCTATGAGACAGCCGTGCCAGAATCGAGAAAATATTTGAATTATTATGCAGGCTGCCATGGCGCCTCGCGAGGCAATCACGTCACTGGTCTGCAAAGCATACCTCCAATAGCTGCGCCACCAGCTATATTCAGCAAGAATATACGAAGTAGCCTTACTGCGATGTCTCTTGCACGCGAGAGGAGGGCGCGGGGAAGTCGGGTGTTCTGATACTAACTATCGGTCCTGGATGAGGCGCAAGAGAACGAAGGAGCAGACATGATCTCATTCTCGGGCGGTTTCCCGCATGGTATCTACTAGAATGCCTCGTGGTTACAAGGCTAATACAAATTGTTGAGGGGCGAGCTGGGTTGAAATTCCTCCTCCTGACGCAGGGAGTTCCCGCTACGACGGAAACCCATGTAGTTTGGCACGCGATACATGAGCAAGCCATATAATTTGTGTAAGGCATATGTACTCCTCGTCCGGCATCGACATGATCCCAGTTCCACGGGAAAGCGGATGTTTTGCGACAGAAATAGCAAAAGTTCAAACAAATATCTTTGGGCTCCTTTGACGTACCAAAGAAAGAAAGGGACCCCGCGAATCGTTGACGATTAGATCCTAAGCCGCACCAAGCTTCCAGGAGGAGCCGCCAAACCATGGGTTATGCAATGATACAATGATTCTTAAATTGTAAATCGGCGGAAACCCCCACAGTTTGTGGTACACATACCACCACATCCTCTCCCAATTTTCTATGGTACCTAGTGGTGACGGTCTAGCCCATCCAGGCTCCTTGTACAGAGGTTGTTTAATAGTACACTAACTACAAGGTAGCTATTTCTCTAGACGTATTACTAACGCCACTAAAAGAGTAATAAGCCTCCTCGCTCGACTCGTGGGCAACTTGAGCCCCAAGGCTCTGAAGGCGGTATATCCACGTGCAAAGCTTAGAATCTTCAATTCTTACTACCGCCACTATTACTTTCAATGGTCCATAACATCATTCCCAGACAGCAATAACTCTTCGTCAGCGGGATAAGAAGTTAAATTTAACGACTCCTACGCCACATGTCGCCCGCTGCCAATAATACGTACATATATCAATTAATCTAAATCCGCCAATCTACCCACGTAGCTATCACGACTGTGGAAACGATCTCCACTTGAATTGACGCTATTTCATACTATTAAAAAACCCCGAAGACCCTGGACGTCAGGGACCACAACCGGGAAGCTATACACGCCTAAGCTCTCGCTTGAAGACGGGCACTATGCCGCGATCAAGTTTCTCGGATAACCCGTTATTACGGGTGTCACGACCAGTGTCAGCTTGCTCTAGATGTCAGTACTATCGCATCATATGTAGAACCTACGCATAGTTAAAGAACGTCAAGACTAAGATATCAATAGGTCGAAGTGCTAAAGTCAAGGTAGTCTAGCCGTCGTTCAATATATTAATCTCGGTGCTGATGACGATATTACCAGTGTGATGGGAAATTGCCGGCGTGTACTGCCTGCGAGAAGGCTGGCCGAGAGAAAGAATGCTCGGCTGCCAACGATCAATTCGCTAGGGGCAAGGAACGAAGGTAAGGAATCTCGGCTCAGCTTTATTTATAGGCGCCCTTATCATTCTACTAACACGGCTTGCTCAGCTACGTCGCTGCGCTCGAACTCCGCATAGAGAAGCTAGAAAAGCGACTTGCGTACGCTCGATCAAGAAAGGCGTCTGTCGCTCAGCATGAGTCCGAGGTATCACCAGCGCAGCCGGAGCCTGACCGGAAAGATTCGCTTGCTCTCATTAAAGCGGCTATATACCGTAAAGCTGCTAGGAAACGAGAAATGTCCGATGTCAATTCGTTGATGTCTGACTTTGGCTACTTGTAAGTCGCTTTGCTGCCGAGTATTGGGTTATACCGGCGGTGTATTAATAATGAATGGCAAGGTCGATCAATGCTACGACAAGGGATTTCGAACCCACGATGAGCAACATGACATTTGCACGCCTCGTGTTGGCCGCCGCTTCTAACGACCCGCTTCCAAACGTCGTGGACTTAACTCTGCCTCCTAAGCAGGACGCCGTTGCTCTTGTTCAATATTACATGACAAATATATACTCCTTGTTTCCTGCATTCCCTGAAACAACACTTTACACCATTCTTGAGCAAATGTACTCGTTTCAGGAGCGAGCAATCAAAGATGTTGACTATTGGCTCGTATATATGGTGCTAGCCGTTGGGTCCGCCGCCCAGAGCCAAACGAAGAACGATAATTACTATCGTAATGGACTACGCTTTGTGGCTCAAGCCTTGCAACACGCAGACAGGGCGTTGATGCCAGGCTACACAACACAGATTCAATCTTTGATTCTACTCACTCAATACTCTATGCTAGATCCGGCTCATTTCGATAGCTGGCACTTGATCGGCTTCACCTCCAGAGCAGTAATCGACCTGGGATTTCACCAGGATCCCCCGCCGGAACAGCTCTCAGACAAAGCCGTGCTGGATATGAGGCGGAAGACCTTCTACTGCGTTTATTCATTAGATAGGTATGCAATTCTACCCCTTTTTGTGGTATAAGAGATGCTAACTCTTTGGGTAAGATCTATCAGTATGGTCCATGCGCGCGCCTTCTCTTTCACTGACGCATCAACAAACGTTGGCTGGCCTCGGCCTTCATCATTCAGCCGCCGAGCATCCATCACTGGCAAAATTCTTTCGGGTTCTGAGCCTGCATTCCTGCTCTTCCAACTACGACGAGCCCAGTCCCATTGGTACCAGGCGCTTTTCCAAGCAGAGCCAACCCCATTACACAATGCATCCTCATTCATCTGGCAAATGTGTCAAGATATGAGAGAATGGGCCGAGACGCTTCCTACCACCCTACCAATCGGCATGAGGGAGTTATTCGACCTTGAGCTGCGATACAGTTTCGTCTATTGCATAGCGCCATCAGCTAGAGCACCTCACATGACCGATTATGGCCGGCTACTCATCTTCGAGCACACCATCGCGTACCTCGACCGCATATACGACGTATCGCACCGCGAGATGAAAACCGCCTTTTATACATACCACGACGCCCTGCGCGTCTTCTTCATGGCAAGCCAGTTTATCGCCGTCCTCCGCGACGCGGAAGACCTGCTCCTCGCAGGCGTCACTCCGCCGATGCCCTTCGTCGAGGTCGGCAAACCGCAGCCGCCCCCTCTACCCTCGCGCCCCGGCGGCCCCGGCGTAGACAATGTCGAGAGAAGCTTGGCGTGCATAGAGAAGACCACACGCACGCTCGGGAAGTACGGCGAGCGCTGGGAGACGTCCGTGGCCCTGAAGCAGAGCTTCGAGATGATCTCGGGCGAATTGGTAGACCGCCTGCGCGTGAGAAAGCATATAAAGCAACGTTCGACGCCGCCCCAGAACGTGTCGGCACCGCCGATGGGTAGGGAGATGAAGTGGGTGGGTGTTGATGTCGAGGCTCTGATGAGGGGGAGTTCGGGAGGGTCGAGGGGAGCTAAGTTTGAGTAGTGTAAAGGAACCTTGGTTTCCTCGGAATATAAAACGACCTCAGCGGTATGGAGATACTATTAGTCTGTCGAGGCATGTTTGCATGGAAGGGCGTTGAGACGGTCCGTAATTAGCATGGTGTCTGGCTTCGGGCATTCTATTATTATAGGAACGGGAGGGAAGAGGATATTCGGCATTAGGCATTTATGATTTATAGTACTATTTAAGTCTTCTTCCTCTCGCCCATATCATGGTCCAGCACGGAACTGGATTGTCTAGCCTTTGGTACTATAATTGCTAATCCACAAAAAGCCTCATCTTGCCCATAGTCCACACAAATGTATACATCGTGTGTCAAGGCGATGGAGGGTACTCATCTATCCGGAAAGGACGTTTACAGAAGGTTTCAATCGTGATCATCTCCCTGCTTGGAAACCTATCTTTAAGCATCGCTTCCAGCTTCCCCACGATCAGGTTCTCAGGCCGCCAACCTTTAGTATTCCAAAAGACAAGCTTTGATTTATCCGGATGTCTTCTTAATTCATTTGCCCAAGGGCGTAGTATGCCATCGATCATGGTACAAGGTCCCTGAACACTGACCGACCAGTTGTTCAAACTTTCTTCCAGGTCCCAGTCTACATGAAACTGTATTGCGGCATGTTCCAGGACAGGCATGGATTCGAGCGCCTTGGCCCAGGCTGCGAACAACGGCTGCATCGTGTCCTCGCAGGGTACGTTTCGCCCGTGACTGTCGGGTTGCTTCATAAAGTACCTGCCTCCTGTCGGCGTCATCAATCCTAGGAGCACATCGAATACTCTTAGGCGAGGCCAGGGTGACACAGGCATCTCCAGTCGCTCACTTTTACTCGGCCAGAAAAGCGAGCCGTCAAAGATGCCGCTGATACGAAGGGATACGAGATTGTACGACCACGTACGCACAGCTGCTCCGAGAGGATCGTATGATAGCAAACTCGTTCTGTTAGGAACCCATCCATCACCTTCTTCGAATGCACGCGGGTCATAACTCTCTAGCAACAGAGTCACCTCTCGGCACTCTGTGCCGGAGAGGAAATTAACCTCAACTAGAGCATCAGCTAAGCTATGCCAATCTCCCCAACGCACCGCTTGATCTTCCTGATATGCCTCGTACGTTTCTATGGCATATCCCTTTTGTCCCATAATATCGATGCGTCTTAGACACGGTAACTTTTTTGCGATGTTGATGGCGGCGCGCAGCGCTATTCGTATCCTTGGATTATCCATGAAAAACACTAGTTCTGACACACATTTCACTATTGGGAAATGGTCGGCATTGCCGATTAACGCAAGGCGCAGGGGAGGGTACCGAGGCTCATCGTATTGGATGTTTTGATACATCTTTCCGTCCAACTCTAGGGTCATTTTCTTGTCGTCACCGCTCTCTGCTAGAATGAGGAAGAGGCGGCGCAAATTCCATGTCAGGTACGCGCTAGGCTGCTGCCAGTGCTGTGAAGACTTGAATTTGTCCCTGTCAACGTATAGCTGGATGCTGAACGTGAGGTACCGCAGGAACCTGCGGCGCATATGATTAGCCCAGACTATACGCTCAAAGACATATATGTCTTTAGTCCTGCTATTAATGTATAATGTCGAAAATGTGCGCCTCTCGATGGCTCGCTGCCATGGCCGTGACAACGTGGCGAAGGGTGCGAGACGTTTGTATGGAAGGAAAGAAGCAATAATTATGATAACGTCCTCTGGAATTCTCTTCATTGTGCTATATGAGATTGGGGGATATTAGAAATTTCATGAAGATGATGTTGTGTAAAAGTTGGTGGGTATTAATGTCTAGGCAGGTAAGTGATAGATCTTATATAGATACACTTTGCAGGCAATTCGCGCTTTCCTTTAAGGTATATGTTTGCAATATAAACAGCAACGACTTCAAACAACAACGGCGATGGGGTGTCACCCCTGGATCGTGCCTACTACGTAAACATATAGACAAACGGGTATGATGATGTATGGGATAAACCCAGGTACATTAGGAGGTAGCTATTGCCCAAGTTAGCAAATTTTAAGCACAGGTTAAAAATACCTGCCTCAAGAACGTTGAAGTTCAATATATTTCGTGCTTTCCACGACGATATTAAAGTCTATCTGTGCAGGGCAATAACCATCAATACATACGCACATCAAGTCACACACGCAAATCAACTCACGCACGCACATGTTCAACATGAATTACCTACGAGGCACCTATAACGGGGTAACACTATTAGTTAGCATTTATAAAGAACTCTTTTACGTTATTTAATTGATATGTTAGGTACTTAAGCTCTAAGTTGTAGAATTCGATAGGTGAGAAGGTCATACATAGGTACCTGTATTCACCCTCGCCCAAGCTTGTAGCTTCGATAATTATCATAGCTTATTAATGACCTTCCTGTCCCCTCATATCTTAAAGACAAGTCCTTCCTCCGAAGAAACCTCACCCTTAGCAAACCTATCCCACGCATCCCTAACCGACTCCATGCCCTCTCCCCAGACGAGCTTAACACCGGGGATGCCTTCCTTGCGGAGACTCTCCCACGCCGCGTCCGCGCGCGCGTAGTACTCCTTCTCGCCGAACTTAGCGATAGCCTGGTTCTGCTGCGTGTCGGCCATGACCTGGGAGATGTCGAGGTTGCTTGGGGGTTTGCCGTCGGGTGCCACTGCGGCCGATGGCTCCGAGACCTCGGCGCCTACGACGATGAACTGCACCCGCGGGTACGCAGATACCAGGGCTGCTGCCCACTTCCACTGCACATAGTTACGTCCACCGAAGTCGACGATCACGATCTTGCTGTCCTTGGAGATGCCTAGTCGCGAGGCTACCTCGAGAGGGTCCGCGCTCGTCGCCTCTACCGCATCGTATAGGCCTGTGCTCTTGACAAACGCCTGTGAGTACTCGCTTGCGGCACCCACGATGCGTGCCGGCTTCGACGCCGTACGGTTTGTCCGTAGGGCGCGCGCGAACGCTAGGCCGACCTTGGAGCCGGGCGCGAAGTTAATGACGGTGGCGTCTGTCAGATCGGCCTGTTCCGGGGTTAGGTTGACGGACTGCTTGGGGTCCTGAGAGAACATGAACTCGGCCATGAGGAACGCTGTCAGGTGCATGACGCGGAACAAGGCATCGTAGGCGATGGCATCGGTCTTAGCCTGAATTTCCTTAGATGTGGACTCCGGGAAGACGAAGTAGTGGTTGTACAAGTTCAGGTGCTTTTTCCGGTACGGCTCCGTGACGAAGAACTGGCCTGGGGCGCCGGTCTCCCTGACTTGGAAGTCTAGGGGCAGAGTACCGATAGGGAGGTATCCCCAGACGTAACTTCCCTTGGGAACGCTGGGAAATGTAGAGTCGACGACCTTGGCGTAGCCCCAGGCGCTGATACGGCCGTAAACGGAATCATCGTTGTATGGTGCCGGGGCCGTGGGCGGGATTCGGTGGATACCCCACCAATCGGCCATGTCGGCCAATTTGCAGTAGGTAAAGTTGTTAGAGGTTAGAGAGATGACCTCCGTCCGAATCCGTAGGGACGACTCCCCTAGAGGGGGTAGGGGGTCGGGAATAGGCACCAAGGCCTGTTTGAAGTAATCCTTCTTGTTGAGGATTTGGATAACAGGGACTTCGGCCATCTTGGAATGCTTCTGGGGTTTATTTTTGGAGGCTGAAAGGGGAAAAGAGGACAACGAGAATTGCTTGGCAGTATACCACCCCCATCGAACCTCGAGGTTGTTTATATAAACGAGAGACTGGCTGGTGGTTCAACGTATTAACCCGTTACCGTCACATTCGCCTTGCATTAGAGAAGGTTGCAGCTGGAGCCCGCCGAGTCGTCTGACCCTCTTCTGGGGAGCCCAATGAAAGCCATCATGGAGACACTAGGATAGATCTTGGATGTTCTACATGCAGGGTGTTTTGCAAGCAGCAACGATCTGTGGACATCGAGATATCACATTATAAGCCCCATCCAGGTTGGTGGGATGAAAATCAGTAGTATCCCCACCTCCGCTCCCGCCGCGTCTTGATATTTAACCCGCAAGTAGCTCTCAGTTTAAATTCTTCGAAATATGTCCACATCTCCTACAATCCTTCACGCAGTCTCTCAAACACTTTATGTATAAGATTTAGCTGCGGTCAATATGAGGGGCATAGATAAGGTTACTACATACATAAACAAGTCGCCGGGATAAGGAACAGTAGCGCACCCCACGGCCTTTACCTAGTAACCCTTAGGTAAATTTCTAACGAAAAGCACATACGTGATAGTTAGTTCTGGCTGTGGTTGTAATGGGTTTCAAAAAGAAGCTACGAGCCTCGGCTATTCCTAACTGGTATAGCTTTGTAACCATACACATCTGACTAAGACGGGATATAATACCGATTCGATGTCTTTATACTGCTCGCCGTCGTATAAGGGACGGCCGAGCGGGCCCGTAGGTGCATAGATTGTGTAGCATGAGGATGTGAAGATGCCACTCTGCGATGTAGGAGGAGTCACTTTACTTAACGCGGGGCTTCTGTCACAAGTTTGTTTCTTATATTTTTATTCTGTTGAGGTAGCGGGGTCTACTTGGGCCGTTATGGCTCAACTTCGATTTTTTGTCTATACTCGATCTATAAGTTAACCTACGAGAAGAGAACATGGGTTATAAAAATCCTCGAGGTACACTACAGTACCTACCTCGTAGCCAAGGCGCCATAGCCGGCTTAGGGCATACTTTGCTCCACCGAGTTCTATCCCGGAATGGCGGCACGTTCCCGCAAATCGCGATATGAATCGGACAGCGGAGAGACTAAAAGTTGACATGCAGATTCGACGCCTGTGTTTGCATAGGTGTGAGATCGTGAAATGGGAGAAGTTAATAATTGGACCTCGGTCCCCTCCTACTCACCCACTCACTCAGCAATGAGTGATGAGCTGAAACGATCTATGAAAAGTGGGATGTAATAAGATTTCTCATTTTACACATTACTATGTACCGTCGTTACCTATTTAAAGATCGCTGCTAAGGTGAGATAATAGACCGATAAGTAAACCTTATCACTCATTACCTTGGGTATGCAAACCTTAAACCTGCGATTTCAAAGACATGCCGTCATCGATCTACGGAGCTCCACATGAGCTTCTCGCCGTACCTTACCTTACCTTCCTTACCTTTCCACATGAGATCTACCATCAATAATTAGGTAATTATCGTTTTTGTCTATTGATGCAGGCTTGGAAATACAACAATTAGATTATAACCTACTCAGATCTGATTGTCCGTCAACATCTAGGTAAACACGCTACGATCTAGTTTCAAGGAAGCGACATTCTCGATCTATCCATGGCATTGCACTAAAAACGCCTCTCCAATTGATCTCTCTCCCTCGCCGATTTAAGTTGGAATCGGCATGACGCGTGGTGGTTGCACAACATGATGCCTTCGGACGTCCACAGCTACAAACCGTCCGTAGTGTTTTTAGCTCATCTATCTATTTATCTATTTATCTATGTAATACATCATTATCAAATCTATCAATAACAATCCAATCATCCTTCTCACATAAGTCAGAGTCGTGATATAGTTAAGAGAAAATATAAAAATAAAAATAAAATCACCATAGCATTCACCATAGTACATCTACACCGACAACATCAACAGCCATGGCGGACTCCAACCCCGACTCCAAGCCCTGGCACAAGAAAATCGACCTAATCGACCGCGGCGACCGCTCCCCCACGCCCTGGGGCACCCTGACATTCGTCGGCCTGCGCCTGCTGGACATCCCTCTGCAACACGCTCTCCTCGCCCCCGCCGGTCTCGGCAGCGCCCTGCTAGCCCGCGCCGGCATCCGCGGCGCCGCCACCGCGCCCCCAGCCGTCCTGCGCACCGGGATCCCCCTCCTCGACGCCCTAGGCCACCCGACCAACGCGCTCCTCTTCGTCTTCGCCTGCGGCTCCGCCGCCAAGCAGATCTACTGGCAGACCGTGCTCTCGTACGAGTCCTTCCCCGCCGGCGCCGCATTGGCCGTCGCCTTGTACAACACCGCCATAAACAGCGCCAACGCGCTCCTGTTCCTCGCCCCCTCCACCTCGTCTCTCTTCTCCCAGCCGCAAATCACCGTGTCCTTGCCCTTCTTCACCTCCCCCGTCGCCATCCCCGTCAGCACGCTCCTCGGCCTGTCCATGTACGCCTTCGGCCTGACCCTCGAGACCGTCGCCGAGGCGCAGCGCAAGGCCTTCAAGGACGCGCCCGAGAACAAGGGCAAGGTGTGCAAGGTCGGCGTGTGGCGCTGGGCCCGCCACGTCAATTACCTCGGCTACTCGCTCTGGCGCGGCGGGTACACCATGGTGGCTACCGGCTGGGTCGGCGGGCTCCTTATGACGGCCTGGCAGATGTGGGATCTGAGCTACCGTGCTGCCGGCGTGCTAGACGAGTACTGCTCTAACAAGTATAAGGAGCAGTGGGCTCAGTTCAAGCGTGAGGTGCCTTACAAGATCCTCCCGGGAATATACTAGAGCGACTGTATATCTAGATAGATAACCACCTAGGTAGCCGTGTAAAAATTGGCATGTAGTGTGTGTGTGTGTGTGTGTGTTTCTGGGAAGGGCTTGGATATGTAACAATGCGAGATATTCATCATGATTGGCGCAGTAATTAGTGCTTTGGTATTGAGCATTTCCCTAACGTGACGGAGTTCTCTCCATCATGTCTCCTTGTAGCCTTCGCGCGCACCTGTAATCTAGTATACAAATCCGGGCGGCGATGATACGACCAACAGAAAAAATGCAATATTTGCCCCCGAGACAGCCCAAGCGGCAAAGCGAAGTGATCTTGATTAGCTGTCTGCGTCGCCGCCCGAGCAGACATGTCAGTGGTATAGACCATAGCCAACGACTCCTGGCAGGTGATTAAAAGAAAAACTCCCCATGCTATATTGCAAGTTTCCGTCCAGAAACGCCTTTTCTCGTAAACGCAACCCTGGTACTAAAATCACCCTCCGGTTCTTCTCCTCTTTCGATCTCTAGTTTGAGTTTGAGGCACGTCCTTCTTTTTAGGAGACTCACGAGTCTGGTCGCGAGCCTGGTCGCGAGCTCCATCACCCTAAAATGGACGCAAGTCCACCAAGTGTAAATTCTTTGTCCACCGAGGCAGCTTCTTGGTTTGCTCGTAGAATCGACCACAATTGGCACAGAGGGACTATACCAGCCGAGTTGTTAGTGAATATGCACATGTAAAAGATCGGAATGTAACTTACCCTAGGACCCCAAGGTCCATCTCTGACTGCCCAGACGCTCGTGCCCCAGATACGACAGTGGGTACAGCGCCAGTTAAGCCTCTCTTGGTCGGTGAGCGTTCCGCCCCCTCCTCCGCCGTATCCAACATCCGGCGTATTCCTACCACCTGGAGTACCAGATCGCCCGAGGGGACTCAAACTACGGAATCTCCTCTTTTTCTTCGACCTCTCCCCACGTCCCATCCTCTCCTCTTCAACTTCGAAGCCTAAGCCTAAGCCTGGTACGCCACCTATCATGCCGGCATTACTGCTAAATCTAGCAGTTTCTCGGCGAAGACGTCGGATCTGTCGTTCTCGGTCGACCTCTCGCTTCTCTATCTCTTCCTTCGACAGCACTTCGATCTTAGGCTCCCACTCGTCTGCGAGATGCTCGGGATCATACCGCCAACCGGCATCAGCGCCGTGAGCAGCGTCATTGGGAAACTCGGTCCCCATACCACCCCATCCCGCCACGAGACCGCCGGCTTCGCAAGCTTCCTTTTTAAGACGTAATACTGCCTCATATATTGCATGCGTTAAAGCGGGCACCCATTCACCAGCGAGGCCCAGATCCGCACACGTGACTTTGGCAAATGCCTCTGCTGTGCCAGGAGGATGGAGTAACGACCATTCGAACCTGTCCGTGTAGAGCTGGGAAGAAAGATTCACGTTGAGGGAAACTATGCATCGGTAGGTGTCGTCGGGGTTCAGTTCATCCGAGTCGGCGGGAATTGGTGTGGCACTGGCTGTTATTTCGGGAGCCTGCGAACGAGCACCCTTCGGAGTATCAAACCCGGCATCGAGACTATTCCGGAACGGAGTTTCAGGAGCACGTGTTGAATTAGGGACAGGAGTTGCTGGAGTTGCTGGGGTATCGCGGAAGCTCAACTGAGGAGCTAGCCCGGCGCCATTCGCAGGCGCCTTACCTTCCGAATGGAAAAGTGGATGGAGCGCAACACCTGCGTACTCTTCTAGTTGGGTTCTGATCTGTTTACTAATCTCGGCAGCAATAGCGCCTTGGTTGGGAAGATCCAGATCTTGAACGAGGCTGAGCGCAAATTGATCTGTGGTCATAACAGTCTCGTGTAAGTTCCATAAGAAAATATCCCTCAGCTTATAGGGAACTGTCATGTCGCCAATCCTGTATAACGCAGGGTCCATCTGAGGAGGTGGCTGGTTAAGACCCCGAGGCAGAGGGTAGGCTGCGGAGGGCATGAAGGCAGGAATATCGACGTCGATACGAATGGGAATAAGAGTAACAGGCATGGCAGCTTGGGCCTGGTTGTTTAGATCTGATCGATTCTTGGTCTTCAGCATCCAATCCCTCCAGATACCCTGAACTGCAACGGGCATATTCGTCTCCTTCCCAAACTTGTCGCCCGGATCTATCCGTGATGCGCTGTCTTCTCGTCTCAGACTGCGCAATCCCGTAGGTCGCCGTCTCGAGTCATCGTCATCGTCATCATCGTAGTCATATCCGTCTTCGGCATAATTAATTACGGTAGTGCCACGTTTCGTCGTTCGCGATACCGGGCCGGTGGGTGCGGTGGAATGAATTACGGGAGTGAGGAGAGAATTATTGTAAACGCGCAATCGCGGCGCGTAGGACGAGAGAAACGCCTGCGGAGTACCTCTAGCCTCCATGTTGTGTTGCAGTTTTCGCAGTTAAGCCTTTCTATGTCATCTCATGCTGATAGTACAAGTTGGAAGGGATAATTGAAGGCTGGCAACGCGCCAAACAAACAATATTTACAACTAGAAAGTTAGATACTAGGTATTGTATGTATCGTACCTAGTGGAATTGAGTTTTGGAGTTGGGTGGATTAAAATATCAATATATGTTTATGGCTTGCATGAGCTTGCCGGGGGGTCGTTCGTCTTGTCGGAGCGCAACGCAACGCGTCTCGTCTCGTCTCGTAAAATTTCCACAGCGAAATCGAGTTGGACTGGTTGACTGGTTGATCGCATGGGAAAGACCCAAAAGCTAGGGAAGGAATAGATCACGTGGGTAGCCGAAGTTTATCCTAGGTACGGATCCGTAGTAACACTACATATATGTATGTAATGGGTCCGTGCGCTTAGCTACATAACCACCAAGATTTTAGGTGCATATATCAGGTACAGGTACTATATCGAAGTAGCGACATGAAATCTTAAATTATATCCAAGTTCAGAAAGGAGACTCGAGTTAGACATTAGTTACTACCTAGGTAGGTATACAGACTCTTGGCCGAGTCGTTTTTATGACTTGGAACTACTACTTGTACATGGTATCCTCCTCGTTTCTCCAATGCTCATTAACCCGACAACGCCCAGCTTTGGTCTCCAACGCTTGAATTTATAAAGTTAGGTAATGAGCCCAGAGTGCTGTCGAGCTTGTCATGGTATATAAAGCAACAAAACAAAAAACATTCCTTATTGTAAGAACCTTATTACCATTAAGCCGTGATTCAGCAAACCTCCCATGCGCCGAGTATGATCCAGATCGCAAATATGACGATATGATGCTCCTCTAGAAAAAACATCTCTATATCACAAGCGACTATGCTTCTTCGCTTCTTCGCTTCTTCACCGGGCGCTGGCTCGTATACTTCGGCCTCTCTCGTCGGTCCGTTTGTTCGAATTTGTAAGCATCATCCAGTCATCCCACTCCTTACTTATCTCCATCAATACGGAGCCCATAACTGTAGCACTAGCCATAAGTCCATGTCCTTCACCCTCGAGAACGCGAACCTCGCAACGCCGCATTGTCTTTCCAAGCCATTTAACATTTTCGACCGGGACACGCGTATCCCTGCTTCCATGATGAATAGTGACTGGGCGGGTAATATCTACATAGCGAAAGCCAATTGTGTGCCTTCGCTCTAAGCAGACAAGTAAGTCCACAGCAGGGTTGGCTCCTGTAGTAGCAAGCTCCCAGATCGCGTGAGTGAGTCGCATGTCATATGTCATTTGTCTTTCTTTATCAGCTATAGCGTCGCTAGCCGCAGCAATAATGGTATTTTGGGGATTGAATTCGTTTTCATTAGGGCGATACCGATCCATATTTTCGCTGGCGGAGAGTGGGAGTGGTTTCCCGTCTGCAGTGCCCTGTACTAAATTCTCTTTATCCAAGCTAGGTGCTATATCTCGGCGATTGTTTGAGCCCGCTGTGTCGCGCCCGGCAGGGGCCGAGGACTTCCGCTTCCCACGACGCGTGTTAGTTTTAGGCAACGAGCTAGTAATAGAACTGCTGGTAGCTGTCATGAAGGAGCTATTAGCTGCCTTAAGGAAAGGGGTTGGCAAAGCTCGGAGAATTCGTTGGGACGTAGGGATTGCATTAGTAGGAGGTAAGGCTTGAGATGTACCAAACACATTCATCTGCGACGGAGGGATCCAAGGGGCTAGAAGATGAATACGGCCACGGATGTGCTGTGGCATGCGGAGCGCGGTAGCAAGAGCGTAAATAGCGCCTGCAGAATGCGCGAGGATAGAAAACTTGTTGATTTTGAGCGCCTGGCAGATCGCATAAACATCATCTACAACCTGTTAGTATTCGCCTAAGATGGATATCAAACAAGAGCATAGACATACCAGGCCAACCGAGCGGTGTCGCCGTCCCGTCAGCATACGGCTCACTATCACCCACGCCAGGCCGATCGGGAGTGATCAGACGTAACTTCAGTGTCAGTGCTAGCTCATCATAGAACGCGGTGATATATCTAGTTAAGCCCATGCCAACGCAGCAAAATACTGCTGAGCCTTCAGCATCGCCAACTTCAGAAAACGATATGACACGGCCAGTCTGCGGATGTCGGATCTTCTGCGACAGTCTCGGCGAGCACAAATAGGACTCGACAGCATCGTCAATGGAATCCGCGCTTTGAGGTCGCTCGTACCCCACCATGGGCTCCGGAGTAGCCACCTCCTTTTTCCTCTCTAGCTCCGGGCTTTTAGGCCCTGCTACCGAAAGACGCTTTAACCGTGAGCTGCTTCGTTTGGGTCTAATTATCTCGCCCAAATCCGGAGTCGTGCGCCCTGATGCTTTGCGATCACTTCCATGCGCACTACGTCTTCTACTCTGTGCTACCGCCGGAAAGGGAGCACCATCCTCAAATCCATTTGTATCAGTTGAATACGATCTCGAGCGCTGATGCGTATAATGGGTTTCCTGGGGTTTCTTAGCAGAAAATGTGCTAGCTCTTGCGGAGTGTGGCATTTCGGGTGGTAGAGAATCGTCTCGTCTCCGAGCGCCAGCCTCCGAGTTTGCTCGGGTTATGTGTCGTTGCCTTGTATGGGATGGATCGCGCGACGTAGCGTGTTCAGATCCTTCCGGAATAGTGTCGCCGAAGCCGCCGTCGCCTTCTCTTCTCGATCGTGAAGACCTATGTGAGGATCTTTTGGCGTTGGTTCCCGTCTTGCGCAAAGAAGAGTCGCGAGCTGGAATTGACATCTGGACGTTGTTGGTATCGATCGACGGACTTAAATCATGCATGCTTTCTTTTATCGGTGAATCGCTCGGTTCTTCGCGAATCGGAGTTTCGGCAAGGATAGTGTCAGGCCTGGGTGACAATGCACTTAAACTGTTAGATGTACCAATGGACCCTGAGCTTGCGCGCTTCCTTTCTGTTTCGCTGGCACGCAATCGTTCTTTCGAGCTCATGTACATTAAACCCCTATGACTGCGGGATTGCTTCTTTCCCCAGCTGTCGTGCGATCGTTGTCTGCGCAATTCGGGAGTAGGCGGTAATCCACGTTCGATCGAAAGATTGCCTATGCTACGTGTGTCATCGTGCGACGAGACGGAACCTTTTGACGATGGTCTAGACGAGCTGCGCAGGAGCGACTTCAACCCACCACCCGAAGACTCACGGCGTGGCGACTTTGGGGCAGTCAATGGGGAGAAGCCAGATGGCGGTTTCGCTGTTCGGATGGTAGGGGGACTGGCAGCCAAGTCGTTAAGGTCAATATCCTCCTCCTGTAGTCGGCCGAGCTTAGAAGCAGGGAATGCTCCGTATTCAACACCAAAGCTACCGTCGCGTGGCGAGTTTGGCATAGACAAGCTTTGGCGCTCGAAATGCTTATTCGCCGGCTCTGAGATGACAGACAGACTGGTAATCAGAGATGAAATTACTTCGGGAGAGGCTGGCGGTACGCCGGCGCGATCTATGTCACCGTCACGAAGATGTAAGTGCATGGAAGGGTCAATTGGCTTCCTCCGGGATTGGTGGCGACTCTGACGGGGAATAGGGGGCGGTTGTCCGGCGGCGGTTGACTTGGATGCGGTACCATAGTCCATGGCGGTTAGACGCAAGAAGAGAAATGAACCACAGCGATCAAGGCTAGGGCTGAGAATGTTTTTGCCTAATTGCGACTGGTCTCACCTGTGCGTCGCCGATTACTGTGGGAGTACAGAAGCGGTGTACAACACCAACTTCCAAGTCCAACACCCAACTCCAACTCGGTAGAGTATGCAGCAAATGTGGAGGTCAGAGAAGGGAAGGTCGAACTGGGCGAACTGGGCGAACTGGATGGGATGCGGCTGCGGGATGCAGGATGCAGGATGCTGGGTGTTGGGTCAATACCGAGATGTATTCGCTGCAGGTCCCCAAGGTCCCAAGGTCCCAGAATTGGAAGAGGCGCTTAAATTGTACATAGGCAGATAGGTTAGTAGGCTGGGTCCCGTATGTACATACAATAGTTAATGCCAATCGCAACTAGGGCACAACGGTTGGCCGTCTCGTAGTGTAGATCCGACTACTACATACAAGGGGCATATAGGATAAATTGAGAGATGGAGATTGAAGAATACCTAGATTACCCGCGATTCACATTGATGATTGATGGGAAGAAAATGCTAGGAACCGGTAGCGTGTACTGTAATTTGCGGAAGTAAAACTTTGGTCGATTTCAGACTCAGGGGAAAATGGAAGTGGACATCTCGGCGATCGAATAATTAGGTCAACTTATTATCATTGGATAGGGAAGGTAAGGTACATGTAGGTCTAAAGTTTACATACTTTTTGATCGGAAAGTCTGTGTGCAAATTCGGGTCCCTCTTGCAGCAATACATAATAATAATACATGTGTCATGTACATATGTATTGCAGCACCGGGCACAGGTACCCCATATACATCCCATAGTAATTTATGTACCCCCCTGACATTACATATGCATGTGCCTTGCGGTTTCTGCAGGTGATACATACATACTTGTATGCATGCGGTATTCTGAGCGGGCGAACGTTACAAAAACCTAATGTGCTCACTCTATACGTTCCCAACTATAGTATTCCAATCCTTTTCTTAATGTAATAAGAGGTAATAATATGTTGTATCATAAAATGTATGCTGGTCTTATTAGGTAGGTACCTAGATAGTCTAAACTTTACTTTCAGATCGCCATTTTCTTTTGCCCCACAGGTCGAGCCCAGAAAAGTGACAAGATTGATGAGAGACTGAGCCTAATTTAGATTAAAGCAATCGTCGGAGTTAACATGCGTACCCCTGAAAAGTTAGCTTAGGTACATACATACAGGTAGCTAGCTGTCTCTTTCCGCTATGCTCAACTGCGGACAGGAAATCTAATACATTAAAAGGTTACATATCCGAATAGTTACAGAAAATATATTGACATGTGCAACTCCGTCTCGGTTTCAGAATATGCGCGTCGTGTAGGTCGTACCGACTTGGGTTACAGCTGCAACATTCAACGTTTATCGTCTATTTGTACAACATTTGGTAGCAAGCGGGAACGGAAGCGCTATAAGAAAACGTATGATGTACTATGTCTCGAAAGAATCTTAAGATGACAAAATCCGCTTATAGTCTGATAGTTTAGGTGCGATTTCATACGCTAGCTAATATGGCCCCTACCCAAGTATGTACAATACATACACTACAAGTGTTGATGTGAACAAAAACCAAACATCCTAGATCTACATACATACACGGAACGTGGAGGCGTGGGGAGCGAGGATAGATCGATGTAATACATCCGATGTATTCCTATCATTAGGTTAGTTTGGTGTCCTATGTACTTATTCGTATTCAATGTCCTCGTTAACTTATAAATGAACTATTCGCAAGTGAGACAACCTATGTACAAAGTCCTACAGGTGATATGTCACTCCCGTATCATTTACCAATAGGTTCATATTATGATGTGGAAATACCTAACGACGATCTCGCCGAGCGTAGAGACGAAAACAAAATTTTCGTACTCAACATAATGAGTCTCAACTTTTTGTCTTAGATTTTATTACCTATCTATCAACTGGAAATTATTTTGTGGACGACCTGGGCTCGGAATTTCCCCCCCTGGATTATGTCCTCGGTCTCGGAAAGCCGCACAGAGCTTCTCAATTTCGGTGGGTTCATGCGCCGAGAATATTGACAAGCTGCAAACGCCACGTCTGAGAGCTGTGACTTTAACCTGGAGCGATATCATCTATCCTAAGCTATATTGTCCCGCAGCAAGGGACTCCCATGAAGCCGTGCTCGGAACATAGCGATTCGACGGAGCTTCTTCCAACAGTCCATGGTCTAATAGTTGAGGATTAGAACAAATTGCAATTTCAACAACTAGATCTAAAAACCCAATGAGTAAGATCAGCCCAAATAGCTAATCGTTACGTTGTTTTCTGATGGTGATAAGTATGCCATGGGTCTACTATAGTATGTCGAAAATTGTGCTGTCACATCTTTTGTAAGATGATGATGTCGCAACAGGCCAAGACTGATTTCTGCTGCAACGATTCGTCATCTGCATGGAATAACTCTGACACGGCAGTTATAGATCTTATGTGACAATTACACGTGGTGCTAAGCTCATATTTTCTCGGCCATTTAGAAGATATAATACCTTAGGTTAGCATTTTCAATAACTATTATTAATGTTACGTGCGACCTGAATTGTTAACAAATATGTACGTATAATACATTAGGTACTCAGGCAGTCAAGACCCGATACGGTTGACCAGACTAACAACTGTGCCAAAATGAAAAAAGTTATGCGAACTTAGCTTAAAAGGGTAGTTAGCCACAGGTTAGTGCAATTAGCTCGATTTATTACGGTACTTCGCATTTTATATAGGAAAAATGAATCATTCTTTATAAATACATACCTTATAGCATTATATATCATATGCTTACAAAGGGTATGCTCACTTTTAAGATCAACCAATCAACTTAAAAGATTCAATTGTCAATTCAATCAATTCAATTCAATTCAATTTCAACTACCACATCTACACATTCAAATAACCTTACGATTTTAGCAACTGAAACATTATAACTGGTACCATTCTGTAGCCTCAATTGATGCGAAAATAATAATCTAAGTTGCATGCTTATGCGATGAGTATTAAGTATTGTATTGCTATTAAAGTATTCGGAGCTTAATTGAAAAGACTTCATCGAGATGTTTGTAAAGGGTGTCACGTGCTTCCCTTTCTAGACAAGCGCTATTTGATTCTACTATAACACAACAACTAAGAGGCTGATTCAAATGCAACTTGGATCATTGTTTTCGCATTAATTGGGGCTATTAAATGATACCAGCAATAATATTATAATTGCTAAAATTGTAAAGTTATTTAAGTATATACCTGATGTGTGGTAGTTGAAAATTAGATTGACAATTAAATCTTTTGATTTAATTGGCTAATCCTTTAGATTATACTGGTTAAATCAATATATCTATTACAATAAGCCGTAATGAGGCTTGGAAGTACACATTTACTATTTTCTAAATTGTGGCAAGTGACCTCCTACCAACTTTAGTTTAGTGTGCGATAACTTTTTTTCATTTTGGCACAGTTGTTAGTCTGGTCAACCGTACCCGAGCTATCGAGCTATCAGTGGAGTTTTCCCGTGCGTTGTGCCTGGCCTAGAACACCCTAGCAGCTTAACAGCTTACCTCATACATGCTAGCAGGCTTAGTTAAGAAGATGCCCCGCAAATCGAAGCCGCTGCAAGTATTTCTTGGCATCGAAGCCCAGCAGTTTGGGCTTCACGTTGACCAAATAATTACGGCCCCGCCTAAGCCAACAGGGGAGACGAGAATTCATCAACGTCGCAACCAATCAAGAAGTTTAAAACCAAATGACAGCACAACATACGTCATTGAGCTGTTCAACAGCAGGTGCGCATCAAATCAAGGACTCGAGGCAGAGGTGAGGCCTAAGACACGTATGAATTTTATGAATTTTTTTATGATTAAGGTACCTATCTTTGCTTCTAGATGAACAACGAAGTCCTGAGAAACTAAATCCTAAGGTATTATCGTCTCATGTCCCTGAGTATACTGTGTCGTTAAATAGCTGGACATACAGATATACATACTTACCGAACACATATCTCTTCATCTAGCGCGTTCGTATACTCGAGAAGGACAAACGGTAATACCAACAAAATGGATCTCCTATTATCTCTTCCGATAGTCTCATATTTTGGTGGACCGATGCTCTCGTCGTGGTCGGGTTCGCTAAATCTCCTATTTTTCTATATGACTTGGACGACACTTGTCCTATCCCATTCGCCTCTGAGGATCGAGTTGGTCGGCACTCTAGCAGTGCGAATAGTATTCTGGCTCTTGCCGTCGCTCTTCTTCCTGCTATTCGACACATTGGTTCCTAGCCTCGCGGAATCTATCAAGTTCTATGGCTCTACATCTTTACCTCGGCGAAGTGCTGCCTCCTTACTTGGACAGATCCTGCTTGCTATATTCAATCTTGCGCTCAGTACCGCTGTGCAAGCCGGTATATCCATAGGCGCAGGTACATTCCTGCGCCGTCCGCTCTTCAAGACCAGTACGGCACTGCCACTCCCCTGGCAAATAGCAAAGCATATCTTGATGCTGTATACCGCGCGCGAGATTCTGACGTATTACCTCCACCGATTTGTGTTACACTCTCGGGGGAGAGTGGCGAGACTACATAGCGCATACGCGCACTCGCGCAAGCACGCCGCCCCATATGCCCTGATGCTCTATACAGACCATCCGCTGCCGCTTCTTTTTAATCGCACATTGCCAGTATACTTATCAGCCATGGTCATCCAGCCGCATCTACTCACATATTTTTTATTTACTATCTTGACGACGCTAGAGGAGACGATGTCCATGTCTGGCTACAGCATTGTACCGGGTATCATCATGGGCGGTATCACACGACGTACTGCGACGCACTATGCAAGCGGCGGGCGCGGTAACTTCGGTGCTTGGGGACTGCTGGACTGGGCCAGTGGTACGAGCGTGGGCAAAGACGTAGTAAAGGATATTCATGATGAAGCAGAAAAGCACCAGGTCAAGGAGCGCGGCCAAAAAGCTGTAGGCGACACGGGCAGCTGGGTACAAGACGGTATCAATGGCTTGAAGAAGGGTCGCAAAAGCCGGAAGAAGAGCTTGGACTAGCGATAGTCCATAGTCCATAGTCTGAACTTTTATTTTTGGGAAATTGGGAAAGGAAATAGACAACGATGCTATGGATTACGACCTTTAAGATTCGCCAGGGGACGACTTTGTTGGAGTTTGGCGTAAGAAGGGATTAGGTTAGAGACGCGTGCATACGCCTATGATTGTATGAATGAGATATGAGAGGTGATGATATAAATGAGATATTTATTAGTGTTGAGAAATATAAGGTCAAATACAAAAGAACGACAACTTTCACATGTTTCTTTGTCGTAACAAATGTGAGTCCATAACTCTCAGTCCTTTCCAAGCAGTAGTAAGTAATTTAGTGTCAATTTGTTAAGACCCTTATCCGTATACCGCACAATATCCTCCGTAAACTCGGGCGTAGCATGCCCCAATGTCCACGATATCTTACAGTCTTATTGAATCCATAGCCGCTAATTACCTCGTAATTTTTGCTGACTGCACATGCTGAAAAGGCTATAGCGCAAATTTGACATGGAAGTGATATAATAATAGCCTTTGCTTATCATGGGCTGTGAAAGCTATTAGTATAGGTTGAAAACAATACCTTACTGTACTGACTTGAATGGTACCTACCGAGTGTTGCAGGATGGACATTTTACATCCTTGTTTGGGCCAACAAACCCTGAGCCGTCACACTGGTCACACATCTGTTTTTGATTCCGGCTTGGAAGTCAGGAAGTGAGAATCGATTTTACGGATGTAAATGCGATTTATCTGTTTATGTAAAAAGAGCAACACTAGCCTCGGCAGTGGGGGTTTAAAAATGCCAGATGAGTGGCGTCATATTGCTATGATGTAGCTGCCTCCAAATCCCTGTCGTACATAGCGGGGCTGCGGGGCAATAGGTACCTAGGTATACAACGATTACCTCATATTCAGACTGATACTAAATAAAATACTGAACCCTTGAGGTCCTCGGATTAGATTAGGTAAACTCTTGCAAGAGACAAGAACCATAACGAATCCAATCTACTAACTACCACTTATTAATCTAATACGACCGGTCATATACATACGATCTTCATCCACCAAACCACGAACTAAACACCCATCACCACCAAGTCAAAGTCAGAGCAACCCAGACATCAACCATGTCAACAACAACAGCACTCAACCCCGACCCATCCCCCGGCTCCCTAGCCTTCATACCCCTCGAAGCGAACCCCGAGCTCATGACCTCCCTTCTTCACAAACTAGGCCTAAGCCAAGCCCTCCAGGTCCACGACGTATACTCCATCACCGAGCCCGAACTCCTCGCCTTCGTGCCCCGACCCGCCCTCGCCCTGCTCCTCGTCTTCCCCGTCTCGGCCACGTACGAATCGCACCGCCTGGCCGAGGACGCCGGCGTACCGGAGTACGCCGGCAGCGGCGACGACGAGCCCGTGCTCTGGTACAAGCAGACCATCCGCAACGCGTGCGGGCTGATGGGCCTGCTGCATGCCGTGTCGAACGGGCCCGCGCGGGGCTTCATTGGTAAGTGGCCGACCCCCCCTCTTCCTCTTCCTCCCCTTCCTTCTCCTCCTCTCTTCTCTTCCCTCCACTTCTTCTTCTTTTTGTACCTACCTAACAAACTAACCCCCAAACATAGAATCCAACACCCCCCTCCACCGCCTCCTAACCGCATCCATACCGCTCCCCCCCGCCCAGCGCTCCGCCCTTCTAGAACGCACCCCCGAGCTCGCCGCCGCGCACCAAGAAGCCGCGAGCCGGGGCGCGACGGCCGCGCCCGACGCCCAAGACGACGTGGACCTGCACTACGTGTGTTTCGTGAAGACGGAGGACGGCACGCTGTGGGAGCTCGACGGTCGCCGCAAGGGCCCTATTGCCCGCGGTAAGTTGGGCGACGGCGAGGACGTCCTGTCCGACAAGGCGCTGCTGTGGGGGCCGCTGCAGTTCCTCGAGCGAGGGGGTGGCGATATGCGCTTTAGTTGCGTTGCGTTGGCCGGGTCGTTGGATTAGGGTGGTGGTGATAGGGGGGGGTGCCTGGTCTGCGACGACCTTCCCACGTACATATGTTTTCTCTAGGGATGGACGAATAAGGATGTCTGTGTAAGTTAAGCCGTAGTGTATGATGTTGTACCCATAGTCACGTTTTTCGTGAAAGCCAGGTTGTTTTTTCATGGACATATAAATAAACGATAATACACCTGAGTTCTGAGGAGGAATGCATATAGGGCTGTTGATTTTTGAACGGTCAATATACCGCTCCAGTCCTGGCTTCGATAGAAGCAACACGAGGAATATGGATGTTCTAATGATACTACTTATAATCGACTTTGACAATCTTGGTTACATTCTAGGAGTAATTTCTTAGCAATCTTCAGACCAACTGTTCAGTCTGTAAAAACCTCCTTGTCCCATACGCCATGTCCTGCATACTGACCCCCGCAAACAATCTTCCAGCTGGTGCGCTTAATCATAGCCAACCTACCTAAGGTATCTAAGCTCCTGCAAAGCCCACCTTTCAACCTTGAGGAGTATCAAAACACGATTTGCGTCTCACTAGCGGACAGACTTCTGCGAGGCGTGCTGGGAGGGATCGTTTCGGCGGTGCCGAACGGTGGTTCGAATTTGAACAATGGGCGCGGGGTGTGCGAAACCGGCATAGGTGTCATAACGGACGGAGCGTAGTGACAGCTGCTATGACCACAGCAAGGAGGTTCAAGGCTGAGAGCCGGGACCAGCGAGACGGGGACGCAGGCGTATAAGCCATGTTCGTGATAAACCGGGTGTAAGCACAGTGGCGCGTTGAGGCAGGAAGAGGTGGTGGTGGTCCTCATGCGGCTCGGGCTGGAGTTGAATCTAGACAGGAATTTGGGTCAGCATACGCTATTAATACGATCTGTTTAAAGAGTAGATGTTATATTATATGTATATGTATTCACTTACCCTCTTCTCGACCACGACACCGTTGGCTTCTGGAAAAGGGGCGGATCATCCAACTTGAGACCGAGCTTTTCGCACCACGGAGAGACACAGCGACCCGTTGGAGTGCGAAAGGGCGAACGATCCCGAGGGGGAGAGGGAGATTGCGCCGTAGCGACGTCAGGGGCAGACATTGGCTCGATGCTGCGGAAGACGTGACCTTGCATAATAGTCATAGGCCAGTCCCTATTACCGTCCAAGCCATGGCTGGTAGGGCGCCCACCCTCGCAGCTAGCTTGCTGTTGCTGATTAGACGAGGACTTAACAGCGGCCGACGAGTTGCCTTCTCCGGATGGATTGTGGTGGTCTGTATAGTGGTGCATATGCTTGTCGATGTGCGCCGCAATGTGCTCGATCAACTCCTGCTCGTTCAAGGAAAGGTTTTTGCAATCATGCTGCGCACCAGGAGTGTCATCTGTGGATTTCAATCCCATCAGTTTCAAGGCAGCTTCGATAAGGTCGTTGAGAGATGGTAGTACTCCCTCCCAACTTTCTAGCAAGCCCTTCATGAAATCATGTGTTCCCTGTTCTTCAGGATGTTCACATATTGGACACCCTGGATGATGATGCGACTCGGTGGCAGCGAGGCCATCAGCGCCAGGAGGTAGATCGGGAAGTGAAGCAGTCTCAGTCTCCGTCTCCTTACCCTTGTTTTTACTCTTTTCCTTTTCCTTATGATGCCGGTCTTTCTCCTTGTGGCGCCGTTCTCTGTGCTCTCTGCGCTCTCTTCTCCTTTCTACCTTGAGTCTTTTCTTTTCCTCCTTTTCTCTAGCCCTTCTTTCCTTTTCGGCCTTCCTGGCTTCTGCCTTCTCTCTCTTCGCCCTTTCCTTTTCTTCTCTAGGGGTTTTGCCTTTAGGATGCTGCGGCTCACTTGTAGTGAAGATCGGCGGGATCCGAGAAGGCCTTGAGGGAGCATCATTCACTTCATCAGGGGGTTCCGCGCTATCTTCCAGCGCCTCCTCGTGTGCCTGGGAACTAGAAGGATTGACGATGTTGTGGAAGATGGTCAGTACATGATGTACTCCATGATGTACTCCGTGCGTAATCTTCTCTTGCAAGGTTTCTACCGTAGCGTCTTGCACTTGTTCTCCAGGCTGCTCATCTAATGAATTAAGCTGTTAGCTATTTTATGGTTTTATAAGACTTCGATGTAACCAGCTAGCTTTAGGAGTTCCTAAAGCTTTTCCACAGCTATAGCAATGATGATATGAAATATCAACTAACCTTTAAAGTGCGCCTTCGAACCTTTCTTGTGATTTTCCGGCTTGGGGAAAGCATCCAGCGGCATTGGATCAATATCCTCTAGTAGTTCTTCGACACGTGTATTTACCTGAGACCTAGGTGATAGCTGGGGGCTGTGGGCGAGATCATCTAACTCGGGCTCAGGAGGATCACCCTGCCAACTGCAGACCTCATCGGGCGGGCGAGGTCGATGGGGCTCCTCTTTGTGTGCAAGATCATCTAGCTCTGGCTCAGGACCGTCACCTCGCCAGCCGCAGTCCTCGGCGGCATCGGCCTTGTCTGCCTTGGATTTATGTTTTCCTTCTGTCATCTTGTTTCCTTCTAGGCTAGACTGGAGGGCGTCGATGTATTTGGGCCTCGCGTAACGCGCGCTCTGATTTTGAGATTGGGTTTGGCCCAGAAATGAACAATTAAGTCATTCGCACTAGAGGTGTTACATTTAACTCTTCTGTATAGGTTATGTTTGTCTAGGGGCGTCTGAAGGCTATGAAGCATTTGGGATAGTAGGTGAAGATGGCATCCCGACGTCCAAGACAACGCTGCCAACTTCGGGGTGCTTAACCTTGGGGAATTATGTATTTCCCTTTACTTTTGTGTACCTAATATATATGAGGTAAGTTCTATGGGCTATGTCTATGGGCTACGATTTCTTTTACTCCTAACCTTCACGGGTAGTTACAATCGGTTCTTGGGACTTGCCGTATATTATTTAGGAAATGACCTATTAAGGAGGCATTAGTATAAGCATAACATCATTACCCCGAAAATCCAAGGTAAGGCCAGCCTAGGCTTGAGTGAAGCGTATTCTGATATTCTCGAACCATATGACTACCTATATAGTACCTCCGATAGTTCTTTCGACCCATTGGTTTACGTTTTCTTTGAAAATAATGTTTCCTGTGTACCTAGTATTTAGATTCTATAGATAGTTTTATATGGTCGCATTGATAATATAAGACATCTGGTATTTCTGTAGCTAACTAGGTAGTATACTTAAAAAAAGGAATATATATATATATATATCATATGCTGCATTGTCCTACCTGGCCTCCTTATTCATGCATGTGGTTGAACTGCGACGGCATCGTGCCTATTACGACATTGGGGCCATAACCAAAGTCGAGCCCACGAATGTGCGACTGAATTGCTCTAAGTATGTCCTCCAAAACCCGAAGGATGCTGGAAGCCTGAGTTCTCATCGGCTAGTTATCATAAATAGCGCTTATGAACCAAATAGATTAAACATCTGGCTTATTTGTATGCATTACGCCCCTCTGAGGAGATATGCCATGTGTTTATGAGAACTATGTACATGTATTCTTACACCTACCTACCATCAGGGGTGGATTTTATAGAATTCTACGAAGGCATTCTCGAACTCGTAAGACGTGCCGTTGGTTCTCTACACTATATCATGGGTGAAGCCGTACCATGCTCTATATGTTTAGCGCGATACCAGAAACGTGGAAATACACTCAACGGGATAGATGAATTAATCGCCATGACCTAGCAATTCAGGTATCATCCCATCTGATTATCATTACGCGTTTGGCAAGGAGCCGAGATATGGGACGAGAGGTATGCATAACAGCGTTGTGTTCTTCCGTTGAAATGCAACGCTCAAGCCCGGAGATAAATATTCTCAGCCTGTGCCCCTGGGGAGATCAAGATCGGCATTTATTTGTCTATATTGGTATAAGCCTAAGGCTAGGGCTGTTCAGCTAGAATGGGGCCGTATTTCTGACGTATTAGGCGCCAGTTTTCGGCTACCCCATTACCGCATTCGTGGGTAGCTGACTGGTTAGGCGAGTCTATGCGCCCAGCCCTATGGAATGAGTGGAATATAGTGATCGTGTACAAAACATAACTGCTCATTTATATGCCCTTGTTTAGATACGAAGAGGACTGGAGAGACTAGAGTTTTCCCTAAGATACGATGATAAAGCCCTTTCGGCTTTTAATTAAAAGATGTTAAGTGAGAAATGAAGCAATGATTTATGCCATAATCTCCAAGATTCCAACAACCGCTACACATAAAGCGGCGAAGCAACTGAAATATCCTTGTCATACACCTTAGTTAGATGGGGCTCTTCAAATTAGCATCCACCATTATAACTACCGGTATGCATGGTTTTACAGCACGGTTGCGTTCGGAAATCCGGTGATACGATATCTAGTCTCGGCAATACTTAAAGAGTTGGCTTAGTGACAGGCTTTGATCTTTGAACCCCTAGGAGACACGGGTGAGAGACTGCGTTCATGGCCGGTCACATTTTCCGTTCAATTATTCCGTAATTAGTGGCCAGTGCCACTATTGACTTGATTCATGACAGTTCTAGATCATCCACACTCTCTCCGTTCAACCTAGCCTACCTTTTTCTCTATGGTCTCTCCAGTTCGAGAATTTCCTCATATTTGTTACACTAGGAACATGTTTCAAAATACTATATCATCCATATTACTCCTACACTACTCAATCCATTTTTCTCGAAAGTACCTCTTAGCCCTCGAAGCAAGTATTTACATGTGACTAACACGGAATTACTAGATAAAATATCAGGCATCTTGATCACGAAGAAATAATTACCTAAGGAGTGAGGGTCAAGCTAAGCATCGCAAGACCCCTCATGGGATCCCGTTAGATTTGCTTGGAGATGAAGCCTTGGACGTAGTGGGAGGTTATATTTTAAGCTCAATTGCCTATTATTTGGGTACGTGACTTATACGAGATGTATACCTAGTAACGATTACGTATAATCTCTATTTCCTGTTAGAGCCTCATCCTCGTCCCACGAGTCCTTCCTAAGACAAAAGAAAATTTGATCTGTGTAGAGGTCGGTGCCAATGACCTCAAACAAATCTTGGTTATTAACTGCAGACTGCAGTTGCATTTCAGGATACCGAGTGCCGCCACAATGCTTCCTTATAACAAACATTCGGTTTTGAATGTAGGTAATTATGAAAGCTTATTTTAGAGTTAGCGCTGCATTGCCATTGAATCTTTGAGAAGACCTACATTGCAGATGGGCAAAAAAAGAAAAGATTCCGGCTTTCCTGGTAGCCCACCTAGAATAAGCCCATTTGCCAAAAGTATCTTGCCCATTGTACACATCCTTGGTTTGGTAATGAACCAAAAGTTGAGTCTTAATCTCATGGAGCTGAATCAGCGTTTGCTCTGCTACTTGGTCTGTACTTTGCAACGTCGAGGTCCTTGCCGTGTTTCTTGCGGTCCGTGGTAGTGTGGTAAACCACGTCGAAATTGGTGCGGTCCTCAGGGTCCTCGTTGTAGATTGCACGCACTGGTCCAGGCGCGCCGCGTCGATATGATGATCCATCGTTACGAAGAGGGAACTCTAGTCTTGGAATTGTGCTCTTCAAGTTGGGTAGATCCTCTCTATTGTGGAACGTCGTGGCATATTTCGTCCCAGGGAGCTGTCCAGATGGTGCATTCTGGACTTGACGCCGCACGTCTTTCGCATTTAGATAGTGAAGTTTATGGCCCGGATCTAGTCCAGAGCATGAATACTACGGTGTATGTTAGTAGGTTTTCTAAGTTGGAGCAGTATCTCCTTAGAAGTTTCTTACCACTGAGTCTCCAGTGTTCGGTCGTTGGTCGTCTTCGTCGTCGTCCTCGACCTTGGCGGCAGAAAGGTCCAGGGGCGGCGGGCGCTTTTTGACCTTCTCGGCCTTCTGATTAGCCGACCCTCGTTTGTTGGTCTGCTCTTTCTTGTCTTTTTCTTTTGCCTTTGCCTTACTGTTATCGCCCGCCATTGCTAGTAATTGGGCTTATTTCCCAAAAAGGAAGCGATCTTCAATACTAAGGAGCGTGGGTGTAGCGAGTCCCACATTTACCCGCGTCCGATATGGTAGATCGTGGGGGAACAGGGGTTGTCCTGTAGGGCTAGGTAAGAGAAAAGAATGAAGATTGGCCAAAGGTTGACCAGACGTCTAATTGTATCTAGAGATGGAAAGCATTGTAACTTGCTTATGAGGAACGAAAATTTATCAGATTTCGATATTTTATAAAAAGTCTACTTGTAGCAATACGTTAAAAGGCAAGTACTACCTGACCTGGAAAATAGATACTTAGTTACCTAGGTACCTGTCCAAAAGGATGTTTGCTTAACAGGTACGTCCAGGTATACATAATCTAAAGCAGCCATCAAGGTCCTAGCTCCAACTGAAAAAAATTAAAAGGGTAGTGACTCAGGAAGTACATAGTGTAAATTTGGTGCCTAACCTGAGGCAAACTTCAAAATACCCAGTCAACGCCTTGAATCATAGGTATCAAAGCCGAGAGTCCCATGACTACCTAACGTCTCATGAATCTGTGGGTACTACATATAGGACCAAATATACCTAGGTACCTACCTAGGCATATCATTCAATGTTACGGAGTTTTTATTTTAGAAGGCAGGTGGGGTTTTAACACTGTAAGGTACGAAAAATAAGTGGGTTTTTGCATGGATCTTTCCCTTGCAGCCAACATTTTGTACCTCATTCGTTAGTCACCCCTACACGTTTCCCCACAGTACATAAAACTTGCATGAGCTCTCGGTCTTCATGGCTTAAGATAAAATAATCACGAATTCTACAAACTCCTCTCCTCCGAACTTTAAAAAACCACTTCGGATTCCAACTGGGCAAATCCACTACACTTTATATCCAGCACCGATACTCCTCCCTATTCTTCTTGAAGCTTATGATAATAGGGTACTACACACCTTCACAACTCGGAACTTCACTTTCTGGAATCTAATTGCGACCATGGTGGGAACTAATGAAGTCGACTTTTCCTATCTGAAAAATAAGGCCATATACCTGGGAGATATAGGCATGCGCATAATTGACCTCCTAGTGTCTTCACTGGAACTATCGCATTCGACAAAGCCGATAAAAACGGCGGATCATTTTGTTAGGGCCTTGGTCAAATACTCGTCTCCAGAGACATCGGGACTACAGCCAGAGGATTTTGTATGGCAATTTTGGGAAAGCCTCATCGACATTGCAAGCCAGGTTCCACCTCGCACTTTAGTGCAAGACGTCCTTTTCAATATAGTGATCTTACTGGAGAAAATTGGGGAACGAGAAAAGGTATGTATACCGAATTTTCATATCACGTGTCGCTAATTAAACTCCATCCAGGCCAATACTCAGATGTGGAAAGACCTACCTGATATAGATATCGCAATGAGAGACAACTGGAATCGTAGTAGGTACCCGCGGTCCATCTATTCTGAGTACGAGTTATTAACTTTCCTGGTAGGTCCCACATTCGATCCTAATTTCAACAGTGGTGAAGAGTTCACGGAACCTGAGTGGGTGAACGTCAATTCTTTTCTCGCTAGACTCCATCACAAGCAAGGGATATGGGAAAAATACGTGATATGGGAACTACGAGAGGGACTAGAGACCCCATTTACCCCTATCCAAGACATGCCAACCGTCGTAGAGACCAGAATTCGAGTTGCGACCGAGTGGATATTTGAGAGTTCCCGTCGTATCTTCGTTGACTCACTAGACCATGCCTTTTCGGATTATCCTGAAGGTCCGAATACGGGTCGTCCATACAGTTGCGGACCATTATATTCTGGTGTCAGTGGCTACAGTCTTGAGCGATGGTGTTTCTGGAAGCGTCGGCTCGCGGAAATAAGAACCGAAGTTAACGAGGACCTACACTCGGCGATTGATAAGGCAATAAAAGCTATGACACGGGCTGAGAAGAAGCTGGGAAAACAGCTTAAATCTTCAGCTTATCTAACCGACTATCTAACCGACTCAGAAGTCGAGTCGGAAATCGAATTGGAACCCGAGGCTAGTTCCGCATCTAGTAGTGACGACTCCAAAAGTGAAGACTGCGTGGAGGACTCCAAAAGTGAAGACTACGTGGAGGTTGGTAACACCATAGACGATGGTGATATGTCTAACGATACTATTTTGGAGAAGGGTCACGCGGAGGAGAGCAATCATGCGAACTGCGATGATCCCTTCAAATACCTAGGAGGACCATCAACATGTATCAATCATTAATGGATAACTAGAACTACCGGAGCAAGGTTGTAAGGGTTTGGTGTCTTTATGGAAACTCTAGCGAATTCTCTTTTTGATCTGCTTGCTCAGCTCGGAATTTAATGGCCAGACACGCCTAAATGCCGGCAGCATAAACCGCAGCGTTCTTATTCTTGCTCAATCGGTTGGACCTATTTGAAGATAGCTACAGTCCAAATAAACTACAGTTCAATTGCTCTCTTCTCGTCAAAGACTTAACGGATGGTCATGATATAGCTTTTCGTATAAGATATGTTCGAGTTGTAATATGGAAACGGGTCTGTTGGCATATCTACTTTGACCCACGGCAAGTAAGAGGGATCAAATAAGTAAGAATAAGATTCTGACTGATGTACAAAGGATAAGACTACCTATTGCCGAAGTGAATCTTGCGACCAAAACGTCCCAATGGCCTTTCGACTAAGATGAACAATGATTAATGTTAGAACCAGTACTAATATAGCTATTTACTAAGTCTCTAATTATGCAACGGGGAGAAAAGTAGAAGGTTCGGATTCGGACGCTGTACTAGTTTTAATGAAACTATCATTAAAATCACTTCTAGATCCTTGGACAACGGCCGGGGGTGAAGATCGTTGACAAAATCATCGAGATACCTAACATCAAGACCTTTGGCTGAATGACATGCCTAATGAACAATATTATATATTAGGAGCTGCTCTCTCCATGCTAGTTACTAGGCAGTCGTCTGGTTGCCTAGTTAAGATCATGGTTGATGTGGGCTCAATCGTAGAGTCTAGGCGGAAGAGCCGGTAGCGAGGTTGATCCCTTTAGTTCATTGGATATATAAATGGAGTCATCCAGTATCCATGTCTGATGATTAAATCATGTAACATAAGTGTTGCGGGATGTTGGACCATCACGAAATCAATTATAGTATTTAAACCTCTAAAGCTTTCTCCATTGTAACTATTCTCTTTTCACACCATACTCAATTTAACCAATAAAGGTTTATTAAGGATCGTGTAGCCCATTGCGATCGAAACTACCATACATACATACCCAAGTACTTAAACAACGAAATCATACCTGTCAACAGCAGAGATAGTTACTGTCGAAGCGACAGACATAGTTAAAAACGATGCAATCTCCCGAAGAAGAGATTCTTGCAGCTCTGACGCATTATCGCGACAGCGTGTTACAACATAATCATACCGCGTTCCAGCACTTCGTACAGCATGTTGAGGCAGCGGCTCTCTCGGCAGAAAAGGCGTCGATAAGCCCCAACCGCATCTCCGAAGTATGCCAAGAGTACTTCTATAATCTGCTCTACGTTTCGCGACCAGAGAGACTAGACCCGTCGCTCCAGATCCACGTGCCCGCCGACGTGATGACCAAGTGGGATGCTCTGGCGCGAGCTTTCGCACTAGACGGCGTACACATCGGATCCGATGCCAACCGTCGAGAGCAATTCCGGAGGGATTACAAGAACGGTATAGAAACGGAACTACGCAAGATAGATCCCGAGCTTAAGTTTCCTGCCGATTTTGAGGTACTCATGAGCCAGGTAGATAGCCTCGAGGGTCATGGATGGCCGCAGTATCGAGCGGAGGGCCAGCAGGTGCGTTTTTGGGACGGGTTGGGCGAGGACGAGGGAGGAGCCGCTTGTCGCGTGTTTGGGCCTGATGATAAATTGGCTAAACAGTTTGGTTTGGAGGACTGGGAGACTAAGGCCGGCTGGCAGTGCGGTATGGGCCCCGAGACAACATGCTTTGCTGCCTACTGCCGGCAGGATGAAACTGGCAAGGAGTGGGCGTGGAGGTACGTGGCTGATCAGGGCCAGTACGGGGTAGAGACATTTGACAACGTGGTAGAGTTGTTACGGTGGTACGAAACGCTGTATATACCACCCCTAGACTATTACATCGGAACCCTCGATATTCGCATGGGACAAATCTTCAAGGAGTAGATAATCGATCATAATAGTCGCGAGTGCTTGCTTCATATGATGCTTGATAGAGCGGATGAAAAATACTTATATCACGAAAGACGGCCGGCAGGAGTTGGTGTAATAGAGGGCAGAACTTATAGCCCCTTAAGATAATCGGAATGGTACTATTTCGGAGTATGTTTATAGCTCGAGTTTCTTACGATGAGGAATTAGTAGTTTACCTACGAATATACAATCCAGGGGTAATTTCGGACAGTATTAGGCTGGCTGGTTTGAGTAAGTCAAGTATCAACTTTTAATGTATTGCAGATAGAATAGTTTACTATGCACACGAAGAGATACTAGCTTTTTACACTATATAAAAATAAACTGGCCAAATTACCTCAGCTCCTGGACTTGATCCTTACGGGAAGACCGTCCTTGGGATGAGCCGTGGAAATAACTTCTGGATTAGTGATCTGGTACGCTTTGACGCCCATCCACGACGGTGCATCTGCTGGGTAATTCTCTTCGACTTCGAACTCACGTACTGTCAAGGCAAGGATCAGCCGTACTTCTACAAAAACCAGTTCCTGGCCAATGCAATTCCGAGGTCCCATCTCAAATGGCCGCCAGGCGTTTTTCGCCGGGTGCAAGGGATCGCTCTCATCACGCGTCATAAATCGCTCCGGAATAAACGAGTCAGCGTCGGGCCAGTATTCTGGGTCACGTAATACCGTCGCTGCAGAGGAATGCATCATGAAACCGTGGGTTGGATAGCGGACCCCGGTTTCGGGATGCGTAAGGAAGTGTCCCGGCGGGGATTGACGGATACTGCCACCTACGGGCGGGAATAGGCGGAGTGTTTCCTTCAGGACGGCCATCGTATACGGCAATTTATTCAGTAATGTGGGATCGGCTCTAATCAAGCTTGCAGCGGCAGCTGGGTCGGTACCTAATACTTCATCGTGTTCGGCACGTATCTTGGCTGCTTTATCCGGATGCTTGCTAAGCATGTAGTATATATACGCGAGAACCGTAGCAGTAGTATCGTGCCCGGCGAACATGAAGATCTTGATATGTTTGATAACCCGCTCAACGAACTCAGACGGGATATTCCCTCTTGCGGTGTAATCTTGCACCTCGTTGATATATTCTTTTAGAGCTAGGGCGACAATAGTTTTGGGCCCTTCAATCTTCTCGTAATTTTGAGCCGTGTTGAGAATGTAAGGGGTCAACTCGTTGCGGATCATCCGATTGTATATCCAATTTTTCAACGGAAGAATTGGATTTAGTTGCTTGAGAATGTCGAGCCCAAAGTAGAGTAGACTTAACTGGGATTTCATTGTTTCCATTAAGCGGTTTGGCTTAGTCTGTGTTTGTAGACGCGTTCCCCTATTGCTGTATTAAGCATTGAATGCCGGGAATAGAATCGCATTGTTCACACTTACAGTACAGCGCGCCCGACTATGTCGACGGTTATATTAGTCGTATAATCTTCGAGCTTTATAACTTCCCCGCTAGCGGCAACTTTCCTGAGTCGTTCTCGGAAGACTAAGACTTCCTCTATCATATCAGGGACGAGAGATAATAGATTCTTCGCCGAGAAACCAGGATTAAATAGGCTTCGAGCCTTTTTCCATTCCAAACCGTCTAGATTCACCAGGTCTTGACCTCCGGTGAAGCCCTTGAATTCGACTTGCGGCATAGCCCAGAATTTAGGGAGACTGTTCTCCTGAATGAATTGCGCCATCATATTGGGATGATAGACTGCAAACATCGGGTAGCCAATCGGCCATACATCCATGTAAACAATACCCTGATTTGCAATCTCAGGGTATTCTTGCTTAATGTGAAGAAACATCCATTGGCCATGGCCGTCTCGTGGAATTTTACTATCAGATTTTAATTACTATATTCTTACGTAGTAGGATTTGGGGCATTAGAACGTGCTTTATACATACTATTTAATGCTAATCTTAGCGAGCGTTAAAAGGTGGCCAAAAAGAAACGAATGGGGCATAATTGGCTACAAATGGCGATTAGTTAGAGGGAGATATGTATATACTTAATAGGATTCTAGCTTCTTAACGGCTTTCTGAAGCCTCTGGGGCCGAATATTAGAAGCTACTCACAATTCCATGTTGCTTTTGAACTCGCCGAAACATCATCCGAACTTGATACAAGCGAAACAAGAAGAACAGCAAGCTAGCTAGGGTTACGTACCCAAACCCTCTCATGATGAATGATGTGATGGGAGGGCCTTCGGGCCCTAGGAATTGTAACATGTCGTCTTCGGATTAATAGATACCTAGGCGGTTGAAGGAGATCAGTAATGAAGAAAGTTTAGAGGTTAAGCCTCAGGGCCCATGAATGGTTACCCGAGTCTGTCTATTAATAAGCTATCATAATGCCTAGCTCATTACTGGCCTGGGCAAGCCTAGTGGGGCGAAGGAATCTGATTACTTTCGGGGATAATGTTTACGATGTTGTGGTGAAATAGTGATCTAGCGATAATTTAATATAACTATCGACCTATCTACCTGGTAGTACTTTATGTAGTAGTCTATAAAAGCTGGCGTCCCGTCGTATGTTATGACATGACCTATGTAGGTGTAAATAGGTAAGTCCTGTTGGTCCTCGTCCTTTAATTTGTAGACGTGGTTCCGCCATAGCGTACCCACCCGCATAATTGCTGATACGTAGGGCTTTGTTACAATACCTTACCTTATAATTGTGCCTTATTTTAAATACGCGGATAGAGTTGCTTGGGTATCTCTTCTGATAGAAAATACGCTTTAACGTAGTTGAAACGTCCGGTAACTAGTTAATCAAATCAATACTTTTTACCTAATATTAATAACTCTCTTGTGCAACCATTAAGATCTACTTGTGGCATCGGGGTTTTCCGCAATGGGGTTTTCCGCAATGGGGTTTTCCGCAATCGAGGTTATATATAAAGCTACCTACTCTTAAAAATGAAACATTTGATAGAGACAGAGTCGGTAGTAGAATTTACGTAGTATGATTGGCTCTCTAGGAGGTTGCTGAGGTAATAAACCGATAAAAGTCATAAATTCCATTAATACCTGATGGATATGTACATACCTATATATGCTACTGTGTAGAAGGTTAACAAGGGGTAAGGTTCAATTGCACCCCTGGTAGCTTTACCTTTGGGAACGCGTAATCTTCACCCAACAGTGCATTTATAGTACGTTCGCTGGGTCCGGCTGTTGTACAATGCCAGGTTTTTTTAGTGTACTTTAGTGGAACGCGGCTGCATTAGTTATCGCTTGGTTGGTCAACTTTAGCACTCCGTTCCGCAATGGCGTCCATCATTTCCCATCTAAAGGAGATCAATCCTAGAATTAGCTTAACCTTGGACGTCACTAAACCTCCTAATCCCCCGCATATCGAGGGCTCAGCACATCTTTACCACTCATCTTTAAGTTTTTAAAAAAGTTCGCAGTTCTCATTTTCCTTTTTTTTCTCGTATTGGGGTCAGCATTAGAAACCTGTATTCCCCTTTTCTTAACTTCCCATACTTCTTCCTCTCCAATTTTGAATTGTCTACGAAAACATTTACAATCGTTTCAGACTTTCGTTTTTTGATACGCATGTTCTCGGTTTGATCAGCCAGCATCGTTTGGCTGCTGGTCTCGGTCGCACGGACATAATCGACAACAGCAATCAACATCCACCATCACGATGGGGATCGCCGAACGAAGATCGATCCGCTCTTGCATCACACGCATGTCTCGCCCGCAAAAAATTGGCCTGGGTGCCTTGGTTTTCCTATTCATTCTTTATAGTTTAACACCATACGATAGTCGACCACGATCCTTTTTCCGGTTCCAACAAAATGTTATGCAAGATTATTACCAGAATGCCCTCCCGAGCGATTCCTGGCTCTTCAAGCCGCAACCTTACCCCATCGACCCTAGTAATGATATCGGCATAGTAATCAAGACCGGATTTGGGACAAAAAAAAGGGTTCCAGCGGCGCTGCAAGCGTTGAGTAGCGAGTCCTTAAATGCGGACACCATCGTTGTTCAGGATTTTCCGCTGTTCCCGGGTCAGAAGAATTATACATTGGCTAGTGGGAAAGAAGTGCCGGTCATCGATATCATTGGGTGGAACCTAGAACGAGGCTCTCTAAGGGGCCAAGAACAACACGAGCGCGTGATGAAATATATTAACCTTGCCGATGCTGTTGACGGCGAAGAGTGGATGTTAGCTGATACGTTAGGCAAGGACATGGGATGGGAACTAGATGCGATGAAGGTTCGATATACCTAAATTATTGGTCGAGCCAACACATACTAACATGCGGTTCAGTTTCTCCCAAGTCTCGAATATATCTGGCACACTATGCCGAAAAAGAAGTGGTACATAATGTTGGACGACGACACCTATATCATCAAATCATCCTTGGCTTTGCTCCTGGGACACTTAAACTACGGCAAACCGCAGTTCATTGGTAACCCTGTAGGCGACTACAAGGGTCGTTTCCCACACGGCGGATCATCCGTAGTTATATCCGGCGCTGCTCTGAGCAAACTATACGAAGAGCATCCCGAGGTCGTTGCTGAGGGCCACCAGGAATCGGCCACGGCAATCTATGGCGATAAGCTACTTTCTACAACGTTTATGAAAATAGGCATCTATCTTGACGAGACATACCGACGCCTGTTTAACGGCGAACCCCCTTGGATGACGCGGATGTGGATCGACAGATTCTGTCTGCCCTTAGTGTCGTTCCACGGCCTCGGCAACGACGACGCTATGCTACATGTAGGCGATACGTTCAAGAATATGACGGAACCCGTGTTTTGGAGACAGTTGGGGAAGATTTATGGCGCTCCGAACTTCGCTTCGTTTATTGCCGAACCGATTCGATCTAACGTGGATTATGTGGGACGCCTGGACGAGTACAGCAAAACCATAGACAAGGTCACAGAAGTTGATGCATGTCTCAAAATCTGCAATGATCACTCAACAGAATGCTTAGCTTGGACGTTTGATCCAGGACGTCAACAATGTCACATTGCGCGATGGGCAATCCTAGGAGATGTTGCTGAGGGTCGGTTTTCTGGTATAAATGGGCAGCTAGCTCAGAAGCTAGAAAGCTCATGTCACGGCCCAACGTAGGGCCATTTTGTCTCTTTCAATCTCTGGTATTCTGTTCTATATATGTACGGGTCGGTATGACATAAACGAACTGTCTCATTCAGCAGAGACGTACTGTTTGGACGGGCGGCGTTATACATAGACTTCGCAGAGGGAAGGGGACACGTGACTTGGAATGATACCCGGGATGGAATGTAATTTATAATGAAGTTTTTTAATCCTAATTGGATCCAACTGTATATTCTTATAGCTCTATGAACGACGAATGCAAAACTTCTTCCCATTCCGAGCACATAGCTAAGCACATAGCTAAGCACATGGCGAATATCAGCTTGGAATAATTGCTGGTAAATAGGTATATCGAAATGCAATGTGATGCTATAAGGTTAGTGGAAATTGCACGTTTATGTATAGAATATGTACACGCCAACGCCATAGTCTCGGGGTAGGATAGGGAAAGGGGAAAGGTTGATTGGTCCCCAACGAGTTACCCGCATATATACATAGGTAGGTACCTACCCGGGAAACTTAACTTTTCTATATGTAGGTTTCCCAAGAAACAATACGAGGAGAGTCTAATATATTTAGCTTTGCATTATGAAGTAGCTTTGACGCACATTTGTTTTACGTATCACATAGGTACTTATGTACCTAGTTATCTGGTTATTGGTAGATACATATATCTGGGTATTATGTATGTACTATTACATGTAGCTAGATGGCGTAGCACAGCGATGAACTTCAAAGTTGGGCACGCGATTTAAGTCGATTACAGATCCCACCAATCCGCGTATTCAAACAGGGATAATGTCAAGGTACCAAACCAGTCGATGGTAGGGTCGATGACGTGTGGGGAACTTTACCTTGGGGACTTTTTTTTATTTTTTTGACGTCAAATGTCAAAGTAAGACAGACCCCTTCTCTTCTAATAAATTATCACATTACTCATACTGCCAGCTCTGCATTTGCACAGCTGAAAGAACACAATCCGTTTTTGGTTTTGTCATTCTAGCTTCTCCCGCATCTTCCGAAAACAAGGCGCCTTATATTATTGCCATATAGGTATAAGGTAGCTCTTATCAGGGATAAGGAGTACATACCTAGCCCAACTTTCCGCCCCTTTTTTAGCTTCAGATTGCTTGTGGAATTCTGTATCCCCCCGCCATAATTTATTATTCTCTCGTCGGCCCGCCATCTTTCGCGCACTCGAACCCAACCTCATCGGACTTTGAAATACGGAGGGTTCTCTTAATCAAATAGTATATCATCAGAATCACGTAGTGTCCGTGAACTTGTATACGTAGGCGACGTCTTAAAAAACCTCACAGCCATGTCAGAAGTTACACCAAATGCCCAGGCCGCTGGCTCCAGTTGGGCTGCCTTCCTCAAGGTAAATTAACCTGACCTGCCGTTCCTCCATTTGTTCTACTACGAGCTGAGAGCTGACCACCTTGCGATTAGTCTATTGCCTCTTTCAACGGCGACCTCTCCTCTCTCACGGCCCCGCCTTTCATCCTTTCTTCTACGAGTCTCACCGAGTTCAGTTCGTACTGGGCTGAACATCCTAGCGTCTTCGCGGCGCCAGCGAAGGAGCCGGATCCAGCGAAGAGGGCCTTGTTGGTGCTCAAATGGTTTTTGACTACACTTAAGCAGCAATATGCAAGTCGCAGCGAACAATATGGAAACGAGAAGAAGCCTCTCAACCCCTTTTTGGGTGAACTCTTTCTAGGGAAATGGGAAGATGACGCAGGCACAACCGAGTTGATCAGTGAGCAGGTAAAGTAAGTCTGGCGCAACCAAACCGAGCAATATCTAGAGGCAATACCTAGAAATACCGAGGCTAACCCTATGGTTTAGCCACCACCCGCCAGCAACGGCATACAGTATTATCAATGAGACCTCGGGGGTCCATCTCCAAGGATACAACGCCCAAAAGGCTAGCTTCTCCAAGACCATCAACATCAAGCAGATAGGACACGCAGTATTAGCAGTTCCCGACCCCTCCAAGCCTGGGGAGAAGGATACCTATTTGATCACACTACCATCTCTTCACGTTGAAGGTCTAATTTTTGGCGCGCCCTTCATTGAGCTCGAAGGCGCCTCTTACATCACTTCGTCGACAGGGTTTACTGCTAAAATAGACTACAGCGGCAAGGGCTGGATAAGCGGCAAGAAGAACTCATTTACGGCTACTCTGTATCCAACCGGCAAGGAAAAGGACGTGCTCTACAATTGCTCTGGTCAATGGACCAAGGCGTTCGAGATCCATTCCGGCCCAGTAAAGAGCAACTCGTCCAAGACTCTCATTGGAAGCTGGGATCCTACCGACAGTCCCACGACCGAACTCAAGGTTGCGCCTCTCGAGAAGCAACACCCACTGGAGTCTCGACGCGCGTGGGCCAACGTTGCGGCAGGCATTGCTAAAGGGGATATGGATTACGTCGGTAAGGAGAAGAGCAAGATCGAGCAGGCGCAGAGGACAATGCGGAAAAAGGAGCAGTCAGAGGGTCGTGAGTGGGAGCGGAGATATTTCACTGCTCTCACTGAGCCAGATGTGACTCTTGGAACATTAGGTCCCAACGTGGGATTAAGCACGAATGGCGACGCGGACAAGACGGGCGGCCTATGGCGTTTTGATGCGGCCAAAGCGGAGAAGGTCAAGAGCCATGAGTTGAGCGAAGAGGAGAAGATCCAAATAGCTCAAGAGCTGCTAGGCCAGTAATGTCCTACCGGCATCTTCATTCGCAAGCGTCCAAAGTTATTGCATAGAGATGGTATCCGATACCTTAGGTACCTAATTATGTAGGTGACTAAGTAATATAGATAACGGGAAACGTGGATATAGGCATCGGGAGGGCGTCTGGCTTCGCCGGTTGGTTGCCATACAAGTACTTAATAATGAAGTAGATTACACAGTATAATTAAACGAATTGCTCGTTCCTGTGGTTTGTTAACATGGCTTATCAGAGACATCATACTTCAGATCATAAAAACGTAACTACTAACCTATCTAATGATAAATGATAGAAAAGGATTTATGTACATATGTAGTACAAACCTTGCTTCTTACTGGGATAATAGGATGAGATAGCCAATGATAAGATGTTCTTATACTTCTATAACGGGCAACATGGATTCTCCTGATTGGCCCTAGTCTAGTCTTTCTCCCAACGACGATCAACTTGCACCTATTTCACGGTTTGCTGGTGTACGTTTCCCGGAGACGCTTTGACACATTAACAGTAAAAGTGGTGGGGTTTACGGGTTAGCCAATGGTTTTGGTAAACAAGCAAAATTTGTCAAACACCACCGTTTGACGATACGATAAACAAACATATTCTAGGCAACTACCTACCTTATATCAAAACGTCAACCCGCGTCAGGAAATTCGTAGTTGTTCTACAAATACCCGAGCAAGAGAACCGTAACCACTGAGTTGACGTATAGTCCTCTATGATTCATCAGCATCATGGCAACCACAGAAACAACACAAAAATGTGGCAACTCAAAATGCGACAAGACCTCCAGCTCGACAACTTTACAGCAATGTGGACGGTGTAAGAAAACAGCTTACTGTTCCAAAGATTGTCAGGCCGCCTCATGGCCGACGCACAAGAAGAGATGCCACCACCAGAACTACATTGTGAAATTCCAGTTAGCACCTGAGAAGATCACAGATCCGCCTGTCTTTCGCACTCTCTCCTGTCCCGCCGACGCTGTCTTCTATCACCTGCACATGGCCCTACAACTTGCTTTCGGCTGGTCAACTACCCACTCCTTCGACTTCGCCGTGCTAAATCCAGACTATACGATGCCAGACGACCCGCTGAGCATGTACCAGTACATGATGATGACGTCTAGCATGGGGCGACAGCCCGACCCATCCGCACCGCAGGAATATCTGTTCCGCGTCGTCGACCCCGTCGAGCAGACGGCCTTCTCCGGGATTGACCGCATGCATGAAGGCACAAGACGGCACCCGAACACCAAGGAGAAGAAAGCAGACTCGTACAAGCTGCGCCACCTCTTCGACGACCCGAAGTACAGCGGCCACAAGATGGTCTATACGTACGATTTCGGCGACAACTGGGAACACGAGATGACGGTTTTAGGGCGCACAGATGCCACGCATGATTTTGTGTGCCTCGACGGCGCCGGCCACTACGTCGCTGAAGATGTAGGAGGTACGAGAGGCTGGCAGAATCTCAAGGAGGCATATCGCACCGCGCGGCCCAGCGCGGAGCAGCGTGATAGAAGGCGGTGGTTCGAGACGCAGTGCAGCAATGCAGATGCCGCTGGCTTAGCGGGCGACCGCGTCAACGCCTGGGACCGCCAGGCAATTAACGAGAAGCTCAAGTCTGACCGGCTATTTGATCATTTTGATCGCATGGCAGATGCGAGCGCGGCCCAGGCGGAACAGTATGAGCAGTCTATGCGGCAGCGTAGAACATAGAGCAACTAAGGCATGATAGGAAATTCGGTGTACGTACCTAGGTAGACAGCAGTCGATACCCATCTTGCGTTGTTTATGATAGTCGCCGATGTAAGGCTAACCAGATGATATACCTATGTGTTTGGCTGCCTAACATGTGTGTTTACCTAATACAGTAAAGATACGAACTCACCTCTAATATGTAAATCCGAGCGGGAAATGTGGTGATCGCTCCGTTCCTGCAGGTTTATGTTTTCAAGGGGCACAGTGATCTTGGCCTTTGGTGACATACGCGGCTTTATATATAATCGCCGATGGCTTCCGTGTATTTCGGTGTCCGATAGGACCCGAACTCGGGAAACTATACCAACCCGAGGGCGAAGACACTCGCGGACGAGGCCTCTAGTCGGGTTGATTTATAGCCCAGGTACTCATGTTAAGAAGATACTGGCCAATGGAATAGTTGGATTCGACTTCGTGAGTTGCAGTTCTTCTCTATAATTTAAGGCCCATGTTAGGTGAAATATTTTCCTTCAGTAACTAATACTAATAGTATAGTCTAAGGTACGATGATACCCCTTTAGCATCGCAATATGTAGTCCGCCCGACGTTCACTATATTTGTCAAATTTGTTGTTACCCAAACTAAAACGGGGCCGCTCTGGGGATACGCCGTCAACCACAAGGACGGGATATTGTACAAGATTCTATCTCTCTTGTTCTTGAATGTGCTTGTTGTTGAATTATTCTCCGGGCCAGACGGGGGTGGCATAACTGACGACTACGGAAGTTCTACTGCCGGTGCAAATCGGAATGTCACCCACGATTTCCGCGGCTTCGATTGTCAAACCCTTAGGAATTCGTCTGGCAGAATTCCGCCCCAAGACGACATTTACTTGCACGAGAAGAAATACCCTGGTAAAGGTCGTAACTTGAAGCATGTCGGTAGAGCGTTAACGTTATGATGTTGTGTTATAATGGGGCTATACCAGTGTGGAAACTATAGTGTTGTATTCGGGATTTAACGAACGCTTGACATGTGGGTATGATGATACAAGAGACATTATCATCAAATAAGGACTCTGCGTCTAGGTTAGTAGCCGGTTCCGTGTTGGTCGATAAAAGCAGGCATGCTATTTGTACCTAAACTTTGGCAACCTACCTCCCGTATGAGGCACTTATTCTAATATTGGCCGAAAGGTAAATTCACACGGGCTCTGCTCTCTTATGCAAGTTATGATCATTGTGACCAAGAAGTCACAGCAGGGTTTTAACCAATGGGCCTCATGGAACGATTCTGCGGAACTCATGGAGCATACGATGTAGCAAACAAGGACTAAGTAATAACTCGTAACGGTGGAGGAAATTATATAAAAAGCGTCATGTCCAGACTCACCACAACTATTATCATGTATTCACAGGCACCAACGGACTACTATCCTACTACTATCCTACTATTATCTAGCATCACGACAGCTTCACATTACATTAAACAACTAATTTTCAAGAAGCAACGAAGAACAACATCTTGACCTACAATGGCTGGCAGAAAGTTTAGAGTTGTTGTAGTTGGTGGCGGCCCTGTGGGCTTAACTATGGCTCATACGCTCTCGAAAGCCGGAATCGAATTTGTCGTCCTCGAACGTAGACCGAGCGTCTTCGAGGATGCCGGTGCTAGCCTAGTTATCGGCCCCCACGGGATGCGCGTCTTTAAACAGCTTGGACTTTATGAGCGACTTCGCGAGATAAGCGTGGAACTCACTGAAGGGCGGATATATACCGAAGACGGCCGTGAGTATAAAAAGGTATCGATTATCGACGAGTTCAGAGCAGAGTAAGTTCATCGTCAACCCCCCTTCTAATTCGTCTCCGGTGTTGACACGCTTTCTTAATAAGTTTTGGCTCTTCGAGCTACATCTTCAACCGGGCCGAGTTGGTTCAGGGACTTTACGAAGGCTTGAGTGAATCTGACCGGGCTCGTGTCTTGACTCATAAGAAAGTGACCGATGTTATATCCGACGACTGGGGTGTGGCCGTCCGTTGTGCGGACGGAACACGGTACGATGCGTCTATTGTCGTCGGCGCCGATGGTGTTCACAGCACTGTCCGAAAACACATGCGCAACATCGCCTTGAAGGCTTCGCCCAAAATCCAAATCGATCAGGAGAAGCCGTTCTTAGCCGAATATAGGATGTTGTGGGCCTCGTTTCCTTTGCAGGGCGACAAACACGACGGCCCGCCAGGCTTGGGAGGGAACTCACATTGTGATGGCCATGCTGGTATGTGTTCCCATTTTCTTTTCCAAGTCAATAGTTTTTCGAAGGAACGGTTGCCTCAAGATAATTAATCTAGAGACCTCTCCATTTAAGAAGCTGTTACTGACTTTTACCAAAGTACAATATGTCCTTGGGAAAACCCGGGGTTGGATTTTTATCTATGAGCGTCTCTCGACCCCAACTAGGGAACCTACCCGATATACAGAAGAGGATGTCATCGCGTGTGGTGAACGGTGGGGAGATGTGGCCGTTGGACAGAAGTTGAAGGTAAAAGACGTTTTCTCAAAGCGTATCCACGCAGGCATGACCAACCTCGAGGAGGGAGTACTGAAGCGTTGGTACTGGGATCGAATCGTGCTCGTCGGCGATGCTGCACACAAATTCACACCGAACCCTGGGCAAGGGTATATGAATGGCATGCAGGATGTTCTTGCTCTCACCAACATTCTACATAGTGTCCTGAAACCATACCGCAACGACGAAAACGGGGAGTATGGTGGGAAGGGGCCGAATACCAAGGTATTGTCTGCCGCGTTCAAGCGATACCAGGACGGACGACTAGAGGGCGCTCACCACGGCTGCAACTTCTCGGCCCACGAGATACGGAATCAGACGCAGCGGACAACTTGGCTCTGGTTCGTTGACACCTGGGTGATGCCCTACTCCCCGAAATGGGTGGACTCTTGGGCGCTGGGACTTACCCACAAGAAAGCCATACGCAACGGGCTGGTACTTGATTTCATAGACGGCGAGGAGACGTTCAAGGGAAGGATTGCTTGGGTTCATCCTATGCCAGGCCAGGCCACTCGGGAATTGGCTAAGAAGGCCCAAGGGAACGTGGTAGCCCCTTTTCTAAGTGTGGTGGGTGTCTGTGGCATTGGGCTGGCGGCAATGATGGCAATTACTGGCCGTTATAAGCTGCCTATCTTTGAGAAACTGCTTATATGGTAATTTTGGGTTATCGATTTAGTGTGTAATAGATAGACTGTAGTGTGTCATTAATGTATGTTTTAACAGTCGGTGGTTATTATCGTGTAACTCCTGTTATTCAAAGACAAATTACCGTAGATGGAATTTATCGAGCTAGATTTGGAAGTGTTTTAAGAATAATTGCCTCGCAAATAAAATTATTTACGAATAGCTGCCTTGAGGCATTGTAACAGTTTGTGCCTAATTTGTTCCATATGCTCTGGAAACACCACTTGTCTGTTTGTTCACACTTGATAGACGTGTTTGCATGATTTTCTAGTATTTCAAGCATTGGTCTTATAAATATACGATACTCAGGTAAGCAACCTTACCTTCCAACTGTGTATCACCTATTAGAGGCAATATGGTATATTTCATCGTTAGTATTGTTATAATAATGGTTATCATGTCATATTGTATTTGTATACTTCCATTGGCGACGTGCTGTATTGTGGGCTGCTACTGGTGGAAATGTTTGAGGGACTATGTATGACATATATTTTTTGAAGTGTTGTCAATTTGAACGTTGAAACTTTTAAATGCTTTCAGTTGGCAAAGATACACTAGATTTAGGTAGGTCACTAGTAAGGTGGCACGTGCGGTAGGTTGAAATGGCTAAGAGCTAGTGTCACTAACCTAGCCCCTGTGGCAGTCTGGCATGTGGCTGACGAATGCTTTCGCCAAGAGATTACGAGGTATGTAGCTCTACCTATGTAATAAGCTGGACTCAACTGCTGTATTTCTGTATCTCATCCCGCTAACGTCAACTGCGCCAGGCATCCCGATTTCTTAAACGACCCCTTGCTTGCAGCAGGCTCTTCCTGCATCTCGACATCGAATTCAAAACGGACGGAGACCCAATGACTTGCGCGAGATATTAGATATTATTGAGCTTTTACGGTAATCCTTTCCTTTGCAAACTCGGCCATTATTATCGACATCACGCTCCAAAATGTCCACCACACCCGTTCCGCCTGAGGACCAGGCGAGATTGCTGGAAGATGCCTTGATTGCTGTGCGCCAGCAGACCGCACTTATGCGCAAATGTCTCGATACCCCTGGCAAACTCATGGATGCTCTCAAGTGTTGGTATGTTTTATCATGGTCCAATTGCTACGACACTTTACTGCCCACCTAGCTTCTATCGCTCTAACATCTAGCTAACTACCTTATAATGAAGCTCTACCTTGGTCGCCGAGCTGCGGACGAGTAGTCTAGGCCCCAAGCAATACTACGAGTTATATATGGCCGTCTTCGACGCATTGCGCTATCTTTCGGTACATCTTCGCGAGAATCATCCCCATAATCACCTCGCCGACCTCTACGAGCTCGTCCAGTATGCTGGCAACATCATTCCGCGTTTATATCTCATGATAACCGTCGGTACCGCATATATGTCTATACCCGAAGCACCGGTCAAGGAGTTAATGAAGGACATGATGGATATGAGCCGTGGTGTCCAACATCCTATCCGTGGTCTATTCCTTCGTTATTATTTATCCGGCCAGGCTAGGGACTACCTGCCTGCCGGCGACGGCGATGGTCCTGAAGGAAACCTCCAGGACTCGATCAACTTCATCCTAACGAATTTCGTCGAAATGAACAAGCTCTGGGTACGGTTGCAGCATCAAGGACATTCGCGGGAGCGGGAGCAAAGGACTAAGGAGCGCAAGGAGCTGAAGCTTCTCGTGGGCAACAATATTGAACGGCTAAGCCAATTGGTGGATCTCGAGGCTTACAAGAACGGTATCCTGGCCCCGCTGCTGGAACAGGTAGTACAATGCCGCGACGTCCTGGCCCAAGAGTACCTTTTAGAGATAATCACCCAGGTTTTCCCAGATGAGTTTCACTTACACACCTTGGACCAATTCCTGGGTGCTGTGTCGCGGCTGAATCCCCACGTCAACGTCAAGGCTATCGTAATTGGCTTGATGAATAGATTATCTGCTTACGCTGAACGGGAATCGCAAGAAGGGGTTGTCGAAGACAGGGCGAAACTAGAAGAAGAGGCGTTGTCAAGTCTCCTGGAAAAAGTCCGGTTGGGGAAAGAACAACAGGAAGCAAAGCCAACGCCGGATGAAGCTTCTACCGATACAAACGGAGTTGATACTAATGGTGAACCTGCGGAACCTGCTGAGACTGATGCGCCGGCGGAACCAGAACCTACCCCATCAGTTGCGGATACTGAGACAACAGCCGTCGATAAAGAGCCGGACGACGCTCCTCAAACTCCCAAGAAACAGCGTGGAATTCCTCCCAATGTCAAACTTTACGAGGTTTTCTTTGAGCAAGTCAACAATCTCGTCAATGCGCAGCATCTTCCTATCCAAGACACAATTGCGCTACTAGTTTCCCTTACCAACCTTTCCTTAAGCATATATCCTAGCCGACTGGACTACGTAGACCAAATTCTTGACTATGCGAATCGCAAAGTCAAAGAGCATGCTAATAGCGCCGATCTCCATTCTGCGCCAGCGCAGCAAAGCTTACTCGCACTGCTACAGGCCCCTCTCAAGAGATATATTTCCATATTCACAGCCTTATCCCTTCCCACGTACGTACCTCTCTTCCAGTCCCAAACCTACCCAACGAGAAGGGCCGTTGCAGGTGAAGTTGCCAGGACCTTGCTACAGAACCAGACCGTGATATCTACAGAGGCTCAGCTTGAGAATGTTCTCGAGGTCCTTAAAGTATTAATCAAGGAGGGTTCGCAGCCTCCTGCTGGATATCCTGGTGGCCCCCAGCGGCGAGCTTTGGAAACAGACGAAACGATGGAGGAGCAGGGTTGGTTGGCGCGGATCGTTCATCTACTCAACGGTGAAAATAATGATACACAATTCCGTCTTCTTCAGATGGTACGTAAGGCGTTTGCTGAAGGAAATGAGAGAATCCGCACAACAACTCCTCCCCTAATTACAGCCGGTATGAAGCTGGCACGCCGGTTTAAGGCTAGGGAGCATTATGACGATAATTGGGAAACCCAGCTAAGTGCCTTATATAAGTTCATGCACTCTGCCATTTCCGGTATCTATACAAGAGTCAACGGCCCTGGTGCTGCCGAACTCTCTTTGCGTTTATTTTCTGCCTGTGGTCAATCCGCCGACATGACAGGTTTTGAAGAGGTTGCATACGAGTTCTTCGCACAGGCTTTCACAGTATACGAAGAGGCCATTTCGGACTCGAAAGCTCAATTCCAAGCTGTTTGCATTATTGCCAATGCACTACATCAAACGAGGAATTTCGGGAAAGAGAACTACGATACTCTCATCACAAAGTGCGCCCTTCATGGAAGCAAGCTGCTGCGCAAACCGGATCAATGCAGAGCGGTATATCTAGCGAGCCACTTATGGTGGGCGACGCCAATGACCGCTATCGACGAGTCAGATGAAGGTGTAAGTTTTGTAGCAGTCGTTATGTTAGAGAGTCAAACTGATTTTTGTATAGCTCTACCGAGATGGAAAGCGGGTATTGGAATGCTTGCAACGGGCTCTACGTGTTGCGGATTCCTGCATGGAACAGGCGACATCAATCGAACTATTCGTTGAGATTTTGGATCGCTATGTGTACTATTTCGACCAACAGAACGAATCGGTAAGATACTCGCTCATATTATTAAGTATATCTAGCTAACTATATATTCGATAGGTCACTACCAAATACATTAATGGGCTCATTGAGCTAATTCACTCAAACTTAAACACGAACCAGCAGGATTCGGCAAGCGTTGAGAGCAGCAGGCGGCATTTCAAGCACACATTAGACAATATCGCATCAAGGCAGTACGAAGGAGTGATTCTGCACCCACAGAAATAATGGTACCTGAGATATAGGAATTCGGTCGGGAGAAGAGTCTAGGTTCGTACTCAAGTAGTTGTATAGTGTCGCCGAGATAGCTCACTACGACAGGTATGCTTGAGTTTGCGTAGTGAGGAAGTTGTACCGAAAGGGGGGTTATTCTTTTTTTTTTTTTTTTTTTTTCAGGGAAAAGAGAGCGTCGCCACCGTTCTATTTGTTAGAGATAACCGTGTACATATGTATATTTCTGACGGTTTGAAAGGATTCGCCAGGCTTCTCAGGAGTCTAGGCGTGCGTTTAAGAGTTAGTTAATTAGTGCCAAGAGGTCTGACCTTCTGCACGAATCACTGAGATTTTCCATTTCACTTGCATTTTCTAACTTTGATGATTTATATATGATTTATATCTATTTGACTTGCTAAAAAAATAAAGCGCTCCGAATTAATATGGTTGTTAATAGTTGATATACCTAAACATGATAACTAGTTGATGGTGTCGTCTTTTAGTACGTAGACCCTTGCATATACAGTCCACTATGTACAATACTAGCAGTACTACTATGTATTAGGTTCTCATAATGCCCCTGATTGTGGCAGTGCTTGATGACTAACCTCATAGATTCACAGTTGCCCGCGTGCTTCGTAATTAGTGGCAGCACTAGCCTGAGAGAGACCGAGTGATCTTGAATTTAGAACAACGTTGAGACATCAGAATCCCCAACTACTTTATTTTCGCCCTCATGTTTTTATTTTTTGATAATCTCTTAATAAATCAAATCTTCTACTTTTCCCTCCAATGACCACCGCGGTGGTACTTCGTCTTATGCCTACCTTATTTCCTTGATTTCGAATTCCTACTCCAATCAATTTCGCTCCTTTATCGTGACTCGACTTTAACCACTCGTTTAATCACTGCGACAAGCAATTAAATATCTACGCGTACTCACCGGACGTATCCTATTTTAGAATCCCGACTTTTAAGTCTTATTACCCGCGATACATCAATGACGCTGTACTACCAAGATGCCTTCCGAAAAGTCTCAGTATATACCACCACCACCTATACCCACATACGATGAAGCGACCGGCGGCCATCCTGGATCTTCTCGGCCGGACTGGCCCCCGCCTTCTTCACCCATAGATACAAGACCTGATCATGAAACCGAAGCGCAATCCCTCCTTTCTTCACGTCCTAGGCAGGCCGACTCGTCGAGACGTGCGCCCCAAGGGTACCGACCTCCGTATGTAGAATCCGACGACGAAGGGTCGCAGTGGACCCTCGACGATGACGAAAGCGAGGACGGCGAGGATGCGCAGGTTCGGCGTGAAATGCAGGAGCTAGAAGTTGAGGACCCGTTAGGCGATTCGAGCTCAAGCTCATCATCTTCCTCATGGAGGAAACGGATAGCATCCTCATTACCACAATGGAAGTGGCGATGGCGGCTCCCTAGATTTACTGTTCGGTTACCTCGCCGGAGCGATGCCGCAAATAATGCGGATACGGAACCTAGCGAGACCAGGACAAGATTTAGGTTGCCGAATATTAATAGCGCTGCTGCTATACTTCTGCTCGGTAGGTTGCTTGCGGTTTTCCTCATCCTGGGTTTCCTGTATCTCTTATTTATGAGTGATCTCTTCACAAACATGACGAGGCGCATCGGTGGCCACATGTTCGACCCTGAAGCTGTTCGTCAATACGTACAGGGCGAAGTCAACTCGGACATGCTGAGGAACACGTTGCAGCATTTTACGGGCTACGCGCATATCGCGGGGACTGAAGGTGACTACGCGCTTGCGATGGACGTGCGGAATGATTTCATGAAATATGGTCTGGAGGATGTTACAGTCGACGACTACTATGTGTACCTGAATTACCCTAAAGCCGGCGGTAGGGCTGTCGAAATAATGTCCGAGGATGGCAAGGAGGTTAAGTGGAAAGCTGCCCTTGAAGAGGAGGAGGTCGTTGGAAAGACGGCGGGCCGCCAGACGTTTGTGTTTCATGGCCATTCTAAAGCAGGTGACGTGAGAGGACCACTAATCTACGCCAACTACGGATCGAGAGAGGATTTCAAGAGGCTTTCCGATAAGGGTGTTAATACCAAGGGCGCAATTGCGCTCGTACGCTATTACGGCACACAGGGTGATCGGGCCTTGAAGGTCAAGGCCGCCGAGATGGCCGGGTTTGCCGGATGCATCATATATAGCGACCCGGCGGAAGATGGCTTCTTAAAGGGAGAGCCAGCACCTCTTGGACGATACATGCCTCCGGATGGTGTTCAACGAGGAGCGGTTAGCCTGATGAGTTGGGTGGTGGGAGACGTACTCACACCTGGTTGGGGAAGCAAGAAGGGCCAGCCACGAATGAAGACGGAGCAGACGGCTGGTCTCGTTAAGATCCCGAGTCTTCCCCTCTCCTGGCGTGATGCTCAGGTGCTTCTACAGCATATCCAGGGCTTCGGCGAGCCGTGTCCGGACGAGTGGCGGGGTGGTATACCTGAAGTCGAATGGTGGACGGGAAACTCCTCTTCGCCGGTTGTGCGATTGAAGAATGAACAAGACGAAGAAGAACAACAGGAGATATGGAATGTCTATGGTAAAATTGTTGGCGTCGAACAGAACGAAAAATCCATCATTATCGGTAATCACCGCGACGCCTGGACTTTTGGTGCAACCGATCCAAATTCGGGTACGGCTGTTATGCTGGAGGTTGCGCGCATCTTTGGCGATCTTCTAGCTAGAGGCTGGCGACCGCTTCGTACGATTGAGTTTATGAGTTGGGATGCTGAGGAGTACAACCTGATCGGCAGCACCGAGTTCGTCGAACAGAACATGGAGGCTCTCCAGAAGAATGCCTTCGCATATATCAACCTTGACACTGCTGTTTCGGGCCAGGAGTTCCACGCCGCCGCATCTCCCATGTTCCGCAAAGTTCTCTATAAGGTGATCGACAGGGTCTTTGACCCCATCCTGAATGCTACGCTTCGAGCGTTGTGGGATCAACGCAACGGGGAGCTTGAAGGGCTTGGTGCTGGCAGCGATTACGTGGCATTCCAGGATATGGCGGGCACTAGCTCTATCGATATTCGATTCGATGGGGCTGCCCATCCTTACCATTCTTCGTACGATAATTTCGACTGGATGGACAGAGTTGGAGACCAAGGGTTTATATACCACAATCTACTTAGCCAAGTTCTTGGGCTTCTTATTCTAGAACTATCCGACAAGCCGATATTGCCCTTTGATATGGGCAATTACGCACTCGCTCTCGGCCGATATCTGGGCGCTCTATGGCAATGGGCCGAAGATAAAGGTGTTAACGGACACTTTAATCTAGAACCTATTAAGAATGCAGTTCAGGAGGTTGAAAAGGCCGTTTCTGAATTCGAGAAATGGGAGACGGAGTGGCAACAAAGCGTAGTGGCGTCAAACGGCTGGGAGCCGGTAGGGTTGACCCAACGGAGAGGTGACTACAATAGCCGCATGGCGAATTTCGAGACCGGGTTACTAGACCTAGAGTTTGGTGGTGGAGTGAGTTGGAGCCCCTATATTTATCTTGATCTTATTATTAACAGGCTGTCGCAGATTCCAAACCGAACTCAGTTCAAGCACGTCATCTTCGGTCCACAACTGTGGTCCGGGTATGACGAGGCCTACTTCCCGGCAATACGGGATGCCGTCGACGCGGAAGACTGGCCGTTAGTCCAAAAGATTATCGACAAAACCGCTCGTATTATAAGGAATGCCGCCAAGGCGCTGATAGAATAAGAAGCTCGAAACGCTCACATTTTTAGGAGCTTCTTGTAGGTCATGGATGCATTGTTCGGCGTTAGTGGGAAATTTGGAAGGGGATCACCATTGTATTGTACCTATAGGTGGTTGAGCCTTATACATCAACCTAGATTACTTCAGGGTATTATCACATAAACTCGAGACTCGGCTGGGAACAAGACTCGAGAATTTCATTAGACAAGATGAATTCATGGTCTTGGGGAAATAAACTATGTGAATTAACTTTTACAACTCGTCTAGTACAAGAAGTTGGAAGCTGTCATCAGAGAGGTATAACAGTCCAGAAGTCTGATCCAATGATAACAGCGAACCATGACCAATGTCAAACTTGTCCAACGCCCAAGGAAAATGCAATAAGCATTATACAGGATAAATTTGTCGTCCGTAATACTCATTTACTTCTTCCTTGGATAGTGCATGTGACGCAAACTTGGTGAACCTACAAGCGCCCGTGGCGCACTTGTAGAACAGTTTTCGAGGGGTTACGGCGTTCTCATTCGTCATGATTTCGCGCGATAGATATTCGCAATGACACCTTGGATTTCCCTCATATATTCCTTCATCGTCGGCCCAGCAGATGAACTCGCCGCACTATAATAATAAGGATCAGTTTTAAATGTTACAAAATTCCGACTCTCCTGGACGAACGAGAAAATAGAAAGGGAACCTGTTAATTGAGGGGGGAAAATGTGAAAGTCACGTACCTGTGCACATACAAAGTAGTATCTGTCTGGGTTATGGCGGCTCCTGGACAGCAAGCGCTCGAAGCCGACATAGATACTATTGCAGTCGAGACAGCGGAGAGGACCACGCTCTGGGAAACTCGGATGGTAAACGGGTTCCGCGCGAGGTGGTGGGTTTGAGGAGCCAGTGAGGAGGGACGAGTGGAATGGGATCGGGGCTGCGTCCTGGCCTAGATCGTAGTATCGCTGGGCTTCGGGTGATACCAGGTAAGGGTCGTCCAGGTCGTCCGGGTCTTCCGTGTCTTCCAGTACTTCAAAGCATTCCGGTAATACTTCGTGTTCTTCCCAGTCCTCGTAATTCTCCTCCTCCTCCTCGTCTTCCTCGTCTTCCTCGTCTTTTTCGTCTTGCTCGTATTCCTCGCCTTCCTCGTATGCCCCGTATATTTCGTTTTCTTCCCATTCTTGGTGCTTGAGGATCTGTTCATATGGGATGAAAACCGGGGCTGCTTCCATGCGACGCTTGAAACGCGATCTACTATTGTCTTCACCATCGTCTGTGCCCGCCGCAGTGATAGCTCTACTGCGTTTAAGGCTCGAGGACGGCTGTGCAATGGTACTGCTACTGCTAGTAGCTTCCGCTACTGTCGTCCCAGACAGATCAGGCACTTCGACTTTCACCTTAGTCGACACCAATACTGGTGGATGGGTGCGACAAGGCTCTTTGCCCTTAGACTCCAGGGGCTGTTCTGGAAGCTCCGATTTCACTTCTGTCTCACGGAGATGAGGGCTGGGTATCCCTTCTGTTGAAGGGCTCGATGTCCTTGAAGACTCGCCAGTGCCACTATCGTTTTCGGAAACGACTGTGGCGGAGTGCGACAGAGCCGGTTCAGGTGCCATTGGTGATTTCTTAGACGGCTCCGTCGGGTCGATGACCTGGCACTTCCCCGCCGCAGCCGCTGCCTCTGTCGCACGTCTAGTAGTTGGTGTCCTAAAGAGCTCGCGAATTAGAGACTTAATTACCTTCAAGGGGACGGGTTTCGATTGCTAACTTACATATTACCTAATGGAAGGCCCAATAGAAGGGGGACAAGAGTTATCTGGAATAGAAGGGGGACTGGAATAATCCTAAAGACAAGGATGATCCGAGAATATCTATGGCGTTTAGGGTTCCGATTACAGCTGTAAACATAAAGCTAGTGTCTGACCTCTTATGACTGTCAGCAGGTCACTTGCTTTAGGATTTTGATAAGATCCGTGCGGCTAGAAACTACCAGAAAAGATGCGCAAATCTTAGGTTAGTAGCACACCTCTTTTTTTCATAAACGTATTTCTCAACAATCACGGCAGTAAAGAAACTCGTAACAATTATCTCGATAAAAAATATTCAATATTCTATTAAATTCCAACCTTAAAAAGAAATGAAATGAGGAATCTCCATTGATAACTGGCGAATTTATGTGAAGTGCAACGCGGAGTGTGGACTTACTGAAGGATTGAGAAAAGGATCTTCTTTTTTTATACTTTTTTTGACCGCGTAATGTCATATGATATCCTGCAACAGATTAGGGTTAATAACCCTAGACTTGTTGAGGTATTAGGTGGTTAGTTGGCTGTTTCGAATCTGTCGCGAGAAGAGGAAGTGAAACCCAATTTTCCTCGTCTCCCGGGGAGAGCTCTGTTTTGATACCAGTCGGTTGCTATGCGCAAAGTTATCATTGCATTTAGGTGTCTAGGGTAACGGGCTCATACATATTTTACTCGCCGCTAATGCCCAAACCCCCTCTTTCTACCATTAGAGGGAGTGACTCTTTTCAGATAGCCATCTATATCCCTTGCGCTGATAAGCCACTATCTGTTGCTGTCTGCGACGCGATACTTACCTGAGCCAGAGCAGGATTCTACTACGCTAAGTGCTACGCGGTTATGGGCTCCGTTGCACATCCCAAGAGTTGAAAAGGTTGCCATTGGGCGCCACAGTCACAGCTGAAAAGTACATACTTGGTTGTGGTGGATTTACTGCGAGCAGCCGGTTGGGTTGGATCTCCGCTCCTGCAAGCTCGCGATATTCCAGCATATTCCTTCTAAGAGTCGTCCAGGCCATATTCGTATTTCTGGTAGAGAGGACGGAAGAAAGTCACACGTCTAAAATTTTACAAGAGCCTTGGCTGGCTCAATTTGGATATAAGGATAGGAAGAGGTATTCTCAGAGTAGGTGCCTAGGTACTAAACCATACAAACTATCATCAAGTAATATTGATACAAGATCGCAAGATACTCGATACCTGTTACGGTCTCGCTGCCACGTCCGCTAGCATACGCCGACGCGGTTACTTGCGCTTTTTACTCCGCACTCGGCACATAGGAGCCGGGCGTCTCTAGCCACCAAGTATATTACGAGGCGCGCCTTGTTGAGAATTAAACAGTATTAATCCGAGGCCGCCATGCGTATTACGCAGTTCAACTTGCGCGAAGAAGTTGAATGCTAGAGTGTATCTAGGTAGAGGCGTATAGAGAAGTATACAGAAATATGCAGAAATTTGTACTACATTTCCAAACAGAGCGCTTGCGTATTCTCTTGCAATGAGTTATGGGCTAGTTTCCTGCGTGTAAGCATCACGATGTCGGTGGCTATCCGTTGACTTATACAGGTAGTTAAGTACCTAACTTTCTCAAGTATTATAGTTCTAGTTACTTCTTGTCTATGAGAAAGGTTCAAGTATACAGTCTGGATATGATGCTTTTTGTTCTCACAACGAAATTTACTCGTTGGCATTACTTGTTGGTTATAATAAAGTCTTTTTAGAACGACTCGAGTAACCGGCCAGGATCCTCCTGAGACTCTTACACGCTTATATTAAAGGTGTGTGCGCCACCGGAATAAGTCAATTTGTATGATAGCTCCAATTCATAGTTGTAGGTACGTTAGGTCATGAGAACTTATGTCTTCCTTCTAAATAGTTTCTTGCCCTGTTTAGGATCTTTCTTGTTATTCGGCATACAGCAAATATTGAAAACACAAGACAAAAAGATACAGGAAACACGAAGTAATGTAGTGTAGAATGGATTAGCCACTTAAGTTACTATCTACCTAGGTACTTAACTATTTGGTATCTAAAGTTAGTGTATTTTATTGACACTTAAATCAATTGAACTACTAGTTAAGGGTTGTTTCTAGGACTTTATTTAAGTTCAACTACTTACGTGTAACTACCTAGATATATGAGAATCAATGTATTAGTTAAGAATTTTTAATCTAGGTAATATCTCCACAAGTAGAAACTAACAATGCTCTAGGTTAATAAGGCTTAATTATTATTGATTAAGGTTCATCTTTAGATTTATGTCTTCAAGTGTGAGATAGATACAGATACATACCCCATTTATGTTAATAAATCAAAGCTTCGAAAAGGGTTGAAGCATACCATCCTAGGAGTAGTATTAAAGAAGTCAAACAATTAGGTAAGACCGCTTAGTAGTATTTTAGTTATTTTTGTCTAGTTATCACTCATTCCTGGTATTAGTTTAGTTAATAAATTTCGTATGCAGACTTTCACTTGCTAGAACTTGAACCTAAGCAAGTACTTAAACCTTTCCTTCCTTAATATAAGCAACCTTAGTAGCTTGTTACTATGGATCTACTAACGTTATTATTTACGGCAAGTATCTAGGGTTACTTAGTCAACTTAGCCCATTCATGAAACTCTTCCAAGTTAAACAACTAGTTACCTTACGTAGTTAACGTATTCTTTTAACTTTCAGTTAATGCCAGTACTTTTATATTACTAAGGTAGTTAGATCTCAATGCAACATCACTGCGGGTTCCTCAGTGATATTTCTATGATAAAGGAATCTCTCCGTAAGATAAGTTAGAGATGGGTCATTTGAGATGCTTAATGGTATCATGGACTTTGTTTCGTGATGCAAATTTTCTTCGGCTCTGACTCATTCGCCTTACACAACCCGAAGACCCCTCTCGCCCATGATGTAGGCTCGTAGCACGGTGTAGCTACCTAGAATACTGAAGGATTTCGTCAACTATAGTCAAGCAGTCGCAATCGAAATTTGATGGCCGGGTCTTGGCATTTCAAAGGAGATTAAAAATGCCAAGACCTGGCTATCAATTCTCGATTGCGACTAGAAAACAAAGATGAAGTCTAGATAGTATCCTTCTTAGTGGAGCCTGGGCAGGGTTATAGGATTACGTCTTCCACTAGATGCATACAAGAGTGGAAACTCAGGAGAAATAAAGATAATAATAACAGGTACGAAGTAGCATCTGCATTATTGCATTGCATAAAGCTCCACTTGGACCTCCTGAAAGCTCACCGTCTGACTGTCTAAGAAGATAGGTAGATAGATAGGACGGATGTACTCTGAGTGATCTGAGTACGTGAGGCATAGATATTCGTTGACTATGTCCGTCTTTAATTCCTTAACGCCTAAAGCAACTAGGATTCTCGATTCTCATAGCAAACCTTCCCTGATCGAGGCCTTATTAGACGCTTTCCCTGCTGAGCTGACGAAAACAAAAGATTAATGTGGGGATTTAAGGCGGTCTACATATGATCGTGGCATGATCAAAAAGAGAACCGTGCCAATTAGTGACGTTCCCTGGATGTAATTAATTGTGGTCCTTCTCGAAGGGCTTATGCAAGACCCAACTTCATGTGCGAAACAGAGGATCCCGAACAACATCTTTTATCAGATGCTAGGGTCTTCTTCCAAGGTAAGCTTTTTCTAAGCTCGGAAATACAAAGAGCGATTGGCGCAATTACTGACGTCTACGGCGATACGGACTGACGGAGGACCTTGTTGGCTCGGGCAATTGAGAACCCGGCTGGTCATTCGATTTCGGTGCTAGATAAGAGGTCGACCCTTAATATCCTCGATATTGATGCTATTATTAACTTTGACTTCCTTTTTTCCGTGAACATAGTGTATGTCGTTGCTCTATTCCGTACAATGCCTTGTATATATAGACATTCTGCCACCGGATCGAATTACCAAGACATATCGCACATTGACCTCAATTCTTAATGAGTAGTCAGTGAGGGAGATCGAAGACGACGAGAAGCAATGGAGGTGGTCTCACCCTTAATGCGCGTTCCGGCAGAGGTGCGGCTCATGATACTTGAATACCTATTCGACGATGGCGGACATAAGCAATTGCAAATTCGGAACGCAGGACCTGAAAAGCTACCCAAGACAGAAGACAGACGGCGAAGGAGGTATTACACCTTAGAACGGTCGTTCCAACGCCGCTGTTATGAGACCACCTACCGGCTTGAAACTGAAGGCGTTAACTTCTGTGTATCTGCCATGAGAATCAACAAGACGATATACGAAGAAACATCATACTTGGTCTATGGCAGACATACATTCGACTTTGGGCACGCAATCGAAGCGGTCGAGCCCTTCCTCTCGGATCTAACACCCCAGAGCCGCGGGCTTATCCGAGAAATATCCTTGTACAAGCGGGGCCCCGTGCCACCCTACGACAACGACCGGGACGAGTGGCAAAGCGTATGCCGGTTCCTGGAAAATAACGGGTCCGTCAGAAAGCTGCGGTTGGTGGTACAGGGTGGCCGTCCCAATGCGACATGGGAAGGGCCGAAAGAATTCAGCGCGGCAGACTTGAAGCTTCTCTTCGACCTCAAGCACGAGAGCTTGGACTGGGTCGGGGAGCTCGCCCGCGTCAAGGGCATCGAGGAGTTAGAGATCCTACCGGACGTCCAGTACTGCCCACCACCATCATCTAGCAATATGATCATCTTCGCAGCCCTTTCTGCCTCTATCGAGAGGGGTCTTACAGAGTTCCTTAGAACACAGCTACGCTTGCCTCTATGATGTACACTTTACATGTGCGAGTTCGTGTTATCATGTATGGGCCCTGGGATAGGAAAAGTTGGTTATTAGAAATGGGATGCGTGGGTTGGTTGGTTGGTAGAAAATAATTCTAGTTTATTATGTAATGAAATGATAACAGGTACCTACATACCTTCAGAACTCTTAATACAAGACAACTATTACCTACAAGTGGCTAGGATGTTCAATGTTATTTGGTGGAGATGAACATCCTAGCCACTTCAGCTGTAGCCACTTGCATATACCTAGATTAGGTACCTAGATTAGACTCCGGGCCTATCGCCTTATTCAAGAAACCCAATATCAATACCCAACCCTTTTTTCTTACACATTACATATTGACCCCATAGCCTCAACCCACTTAATAATCTCTTCCTTGAAAGTGACTAGGTACTTTAGACGTACAGTGCAGCTAGTGATTTAATTGCGCCTTGTACCTTAAAATAACATCATCTCGAAGTCGACTTACCCCGGTAGCTATGTCTTCTGGTGCCAGAAAAGCACAGGTACGAAGTCCACTTATATTAGCAAATCAAGGCTTGCCAAAAGAGTTATAACATACTATCTTCGGAATAGTATAAAGGACATAACCAATCAGATTTAAGTAAGTGATGTACTGTGCTTTTCTGGCACCAGAGACATAGTGTACTAATAATTTGGAATGCTATCAATAAATGAATATGCAATTATGGTCTAAGTATACTAACAATAAGCAGTTATCATAATCAGTATATCAAAAAAGTTTCGATGCTTCACAGAAAGACTACCTCTTAGGCAGATTGTACATGCAGTGGGAATATAAAAAGATAGTGTTCCCGGAAACACTTATAAGTAAAGAGAATTGCAGGGGAAAGTTTAAAGTATTATAGGCCACTAGACTAGGTCAACGTTAGAGGTTCCCAAGAGAAGTGGAAAAGGGGGAAACAATAAAAGGTTCAAACGCCTTCAAGAAAATATTGTCTTCTATGGCAGTTTCCTGCTCAGATAAGCCAATGCATGTTCTTTGTTTTATTATCATCATCGGGCGGGCAGGTGTAGTATAAACCAACAAACTTGAGTCGGTGATATTTAGAGAAATTGTCTAAGGCTGGAACAATTCGACCGCCTGGTTGCCTATGGCCAACCTAAGATTATATCAACCCTCCTTTAAAGGTGATTAGTAATATAGTCTCGACCTCGACGGTCGACTTTCTACTACTTACCTACCTACAAGGTAAGTATAATACGAATGTGCTCACGTGAGCTAGAAAAGGGGCCGTTCGCTTCATAATTTCGCTCAATTCGATGGTTAGTCTCCCTCGTACAGTCGAGTTCTGACTGGGCTACTGCTGTGCAACGATTTAGGAGCGAAAAGTCGTAGGTTAAAAGATGAAGAGGGGAAGTCTTGACAAATAATGAGGCCGAGCAGACAAGTTATAAGTACACGAAATTTCGATTAGGTAAGTTGCAGATCAATTCTAGGAAGCCAATCCCGTAACAATATCCTAGTATCAATTACCAAATAGATATCAAATTGAGACGCAGGGCGGATAGTTCTTCTAATGCTTGTCCTTCTGAATCTAAGCGTGCTCTCACATAAAGAGATAGCAAAGATCTCGAATATCAATATAGGAGTCGACTCATCGTAACTCTTCAGAGCGGTGACCATAAGAGCCCAATGGAAAGAATGGGATGTCGAGACATTCGGGCTACCTGATGCTTGGATAAATTCTATGGTCTAAGACGCGGTTGTGCAAGCTACAAATGAGAGTACCAATCCTTCCGCTGTCCCCGACAGTTTAGGATTAATGGGTTGTGCCAGATCACTACGATATTATGTTGTGGAAAGGAGATATGGTAACATATCGTCAATAAACTGCTGAGATACTAGACTCGCACAGCTTCATCGTAACTGCTACGGGTCCGGACGCGCCCTTACAGGATAGGGGGGCAGTTTTTAGTCTACCGAGTCCACTTCTTCTAGATGGCACAAATCGAGCTCTAGTTGGGCCAATGTGACATAGAATCTAAGACATGAAATCATGAATGGAGGTAATGCCCGATTTTCGTTTGAAGCTAAAGTATGCAAGTCAACGAAAATGAAAATGGGTGGTTGGAGGAACATAGCATCTTGAATGATTCAGCGAGGTATATTCTTTTATTCTCGTGAAGAGAGGCAATAGATACCGAAGCTGGCTGCTTTTCTAACAGCCATGATCCCATCGTCACCAAAGTTTCATACCAAGAGATAACAAAGAAATACACATCGATTATTGTCATGCCGTTCAGCGTTACGCAGTGACGTAGATCCAACACTTTCGGCGTCGCGCTCTAGAGTTGGTTGGCTTAAGTGCCTATGCGGGCGACGCAAAAGTCTGAGGTCCAGCTACATGTCTGGTTTACTCTTTAAGCCTTGGGTCTATAGTATTATCGCCTCTTTAGTGTTATTCAAATAAGCTGTGCCTCTTTTTCTATGGTGCTATCACCGGGAAGTCTATAAAAATACAGACAAATGATATACATCCTTCTCAGGAAATATTTCTGAGTTTAACGCAATATCCCAGGGTAAGCATTGGATGAACTTGTGCGTGATTCAGATCCTCTCGGTCGGGTCTCTATCTCTGGCTTATGCAGCCACGGAAGACTCCAAATGCTGTGGTACACAGGTTATCGAACGACCTGCAATGGGATCTTGAGAGGGACGAGTATGCATCAATATATCGATATCTAGCAAGGAGCAGCATATGGTGGAGGACGATCGGTTCAAGGTAATGTAGAGCCTACCATGAGGCTCCGGATGCCAATAGCTACCATTCAATTGTCTCGAAAGTGATATTTTAAGGGGCGGATCTTTTCAATACCATTATAATAATGAAAAGATCCGAACTAATTCAAGCAGAGTTTCGATAATATATCAAGGTATAATAAGATCCAAACAAACAACGAAGTGCCACCACAATTGCCTGAACTATCCTAACTGTCGATAGGGGGAACGATGTTTCTCTTAGTGACTTTGGACATGGTTAATTTTCTATTCTTTCCAAGCGATAAACTCCTCTGTATCTTGTGCATAGATCAGATCACCTAGTATTTGTCATGCAACAACTATATAAATACACCTAGTTACGAGGTTACCAATCCGACAGCCTCGTGTATACCTATCGCCTATCTATAAAGTAAAATCGAGATCAAGACAATAATCGTAGCCACGAGACCACATTCTCTTGTCGTTGACTTCGCACCCGTTTTGGAGCAGGACCTCCACGTGTTGAAGATCACGGGCTCTAACAAGTGGCGTCTTTCCCATCTTATCTTCGATATCTATACGAGCCCCGTGCTCGAGCAATCTTTCGGTTACTGCCACCGTCCCCTTGAACATTCTGATCAAGATCCAGATTCTTTAGAAGGTACTTCCTCATCACGCCTCGTTTATTGATGATAGCACATGCATGTAGCGCGGCGCGTCCGAGGGAATCTTTAAGCCTGTAGTTGGCATCGCGTTCTATTAAGAGACGAACATATTCTAGGCGGTTGTTATTGAGGGCACGAAGCGGCGGTGGGCCTCCATACATATCTCCAGTATCTAGGTTGGCACCGCGGTCGAGCAACAACTCCACGATAGATAGATATCCTTTCGACGCAGCTAGGCTTAACGCAGTTTGGCCAGACGAACTCATTGACTCAATGGAGACTCTACCATCGTCTAGTAGTTGTGCGAGAGCTTCCGTCGACAATAATTTCCTAGCCGTGGCAACTATCGCGATGAGCTTTTCTAGCTTCTTGGGCCATCGGAGATTTCCAATACGTCTGAATACGTTGTCGTTTATGTCCTTGATGTTGATCGTAGGCGGTCTAATAGTCGCTTTACCTTCGCAGTCAGTTCCTCCAGTACCACCTTCACCTGCTCGATGGTACCCCCATGCTCGAACAAGAGTTTAATAGGACCAGGCCAGGCACCCTCGTCTTCTAGATCATGAGAATCAAAATCATATTTAATTCCCAATGCAATTTTATAGACGGATAGAACTTCGGCTGTAAGCTCAGATATTTCTTTCCCGCCATCCCTTATATCGTGGATATATCGCATCACATTCAGAGATAGCTGAAGAATAGCAATGACGCTGGGTGTAGTATCCATTCAAAAATACGTGAGCCAACGTCAACGACCAGACATTAACAGAATTAACTATGTTAATTCATCGTCGAAATGATGGATATTACCTGCTTGGAGAAAGAAATCGACATCTTTCTCCATCTCCGGTATCCCCTCCTGGCATTCCTAACAAAATTTTAGCAGTGGCAGGTAGCAAGATATCGATCAGACGAAGGACAAATCATAATCCCTGCGTTTACGGTTATGTTCCAGATTACGATTTAGTTAGTTAATCCGTTGTAACTGATCTTATTAATAAGCTACATCAAGAACGACTGATCAAAAAGGGGCTAACTTCAACCACCCCTTAAAAAATAATCACTTCTTAATATCATCGGCAAGTAAGCATCTCGAGTCAATAGTAACTAAAGAGAAGACTATGGTAAATTCGATGATGCACCTGATATTCCGAAAGTTTCCGGTAGGTATGATGACCACTATGTATGTGAATGAATAGATACCCTGCGATTCTCTTATTCTCTCTCTTATGGTATATCTCTTTCCAGATTGCTATAGTGTTGAGATTGAATTTCAGACCAAATATCATGACGGGTAGAAAGACGTCGGCATGTAGATCCATCCTAAACTGCGAAAGCCACTCTGGCGCTGCGTTTTGCTGGTCGTTCGTGTGCCTCGGTATCGCTGCTCTTACTTAGTAATTCGCCAGTCGTCGATGACAGACTATGCATCCGTTTCAGGCCTTTATTTATCCTGAAAGGGATGGGGGCGGGTTTGTCTATTGATGTGGTGGCGCCTGGCCTTGATTTAGCGTCCGGGCTACCTGTGATCAATCCCTCATCAGGGTGAAGCTCGCGACCGGATCCTCTACCAAAGACATATTGCGGAGTTTCCAACGTCGCAGTTTGGGCAACACCATCTTCTTCGTCGGGCAAAGGTATTATCTTCGCATTCAGGATCCATTGGTATATAAGTCTATCGTCCAAGATGGACTTGACTTTGCTATGTTCAGCGTAAGTCATCTCCTTTCGGCGATTGACGATGACCTCTTCAATGCTATTTCTTAAGACGAGAGTCTCAACGGACACCGGCTTCTGCTGGCTGATCCGTCGCGCTCTTCCGATAGCCTGCGCCTCGACCTGGGGATTCAATACCGGGCTGATGAAGTAGATTCGCGACGCAGAGCGCATATCGAGACCGAATGCTGCTTGGCTTATGTCCATTAGAAGAACCCGAAACTTCGGATTATGTGTGAAAGTAGCGACATATTGTGCACGCCTGTCCGCACTAAGACCGGCCCTTGCATAGATTAAATGTTGAATCTGTAGCTATAATTTAGGTAAGTAGATGTACTAATAAGTGGACGGGCAAGCAGTCTCTTACAATTTCCAGCATGCCAGCCAAGTAATATGCAATGTTTTCGTTGTCATAGAAAACAATGATCTGCTCCTCATCTTGGTGCTTGACGATAGAATCAATAAGGTAGGATAGCTTGGCTGAAACTGTCGAGATAATTCTAGTCTTCGCTAAAGGTTCCGCGACCTTAATATGGCACCCTGGTTCTGTTCCAATTCCTTGCGCGCTCTCGGTGAGCGGTTGTGTTGCGTTCCCCAACGTACCTGATTTCGGGATCGCATGATAATCACCCCCAAGAGCGGTGTTTCCCGCCAAGGCCGAAGCCTGGCTTGGTTGTGCTGTCACGTAACCGGCGGCATCCATTGCCGCCATCAAGGCTTGAGAGCGCTCGGCCGCACCTTGTTGGTCAAGACGACCGCTTTCTATCATAAGCTGTAGAGATGTTGGGGCGTCAATGCAGGGATTCAAGAATCTCTGCAGTGCGTGTACCATCCCAGCATCAGTACAAATTGGCTGATCACCGGCGTCCGAATCATCAAGCGACCAGTTCTTCCCGTTACCCCCAGGAAAGTTGTCGATATACAACGGCATAGCGTGGAATGTATTGCTTACATCTTTTAACCGGTTGTTCACCGCGATTTTACCGAAGTCGATTGCTTGTCTCAGTAGGTCCTCGTCCTCGCTGCTGATAGGAATGGCCTTCTTCTCAAGAAAGCCTTCTGCGGTCTCTAATGCTTTCGCGATATCTTCAGCTGAATAAAACACGCCGCCAAAGAAGCAGGCTTGCCTTAAGTTCCTAACGAGCTGGGCGAGACTCTTACGCTGCCTCTCGTGGAAAAAGTAATCCATATCTGTCCGTTGCGACTGCACTGAGTTGAAAATGATCATCATCGAAAAGAGATTTAGAGATAGCTTATCCTGGAACGAGCCGTCGAGTAGCACAATCTTTTCTTCTACTGGAGGGAGTAGCGTGCTGATATCCGAAAGTTGATGACGAATGATCAGTGAATCGAGAGCCGTCCTTAAACAATCTTTGCGATTATGGCCTTTGGCGTGCTGCTCTGGATGCATGACATACGTGTTCCAATCCGCTACACTATCGCCAGCCTCATCCTTCGTGTTCGCCCACGGGCGAACCTTGAGGTACTTTGCCGCCAGGTTGCCAATTCTCTGTAGATCCTCCCTTTCTTGTCGTAAGGTGGATTGCACCCTCTCTTTTCTGCCCTCGTTGTTATTCTTATCTTTCGTCTCGGAAGACTGCTGTTCAACACCGTAGAGACCCCTCGAAGGAGTTCCTGTGACGACCCATCGGGCGGCAATCTCAAGACGGTCGAGGACCCTCATAATATCGCTCTTCCAGCTACGACTCTTATTTCCCAACTTGTGGCCTTCGTCAATGATACATCGCTTAAACCGAATGTACTCGAGTGGACAATAAACATCTGAAGTTGGCCCCTCCTTATTTGATCGCTCCCTCTGGATCCACTCGAAACGACTCTCAGAAAAGAGGATCAAGTCGTAACTTAACAAGGCAGTCACCGGTGGAATTGGTTGCTTCTCTACGAGCACGAGTGTGTTCAAACCGAGTGTATGCTTCTTCATTTCATTCTGCCATTGTTTAACAAGATTATTAGGGACAATGACGAGCGTGGCATGACTCAGATAGACTTCTTTGGGTGGCACAATTCGAGGCGTGGTTCTGTTACTTCTTCTTGGTTCTACTAAGGTGTCCCGTACCTTATATAATGCACGGTTTTCCAATCGGGTCAAGGCGTCTATGCAGTTCTGGTATTCGTAGCCGAACTGAGTAGCGGATGCCTCAAAATAGGGCTTCCACGCTATAGAATTCTTGTTTGCAGTGGCTGCGGCCATGTCAAGCAAGCTTGCAGTTTTTAATCTGGGTGGGATTTCAGCCACAAAGGGTTCTGGAGCTTTTGTCGGTTCACTTTTTGTACATAGAATAAGGGCTAGACATATAAGGGTCTTGCCGGTACCCACTATGGCAATAGTCAGTGATTTCCATTTGAGAAGACTAATAATTGCTTGATGAGCTATCAGGGAATTTCTTCACACGGTCACATCTCCTAAGGCAGATCAGACATAGGGTGCGATTCAAATAAAAAACGAAGGGTTGATAAGACATTCTGGTTTTACTCACTTTCTTCGGCAAGGATCCCGCCACGCACTCCATCATAATATCTAGGTTCTCTCAAAACGATGCCCGAGACATTGTCGAAGTACCAAGGACGCCCTTCCTGGTCGATCACTGATCGAAATCGGGGATCGATAATCCTGCCAGGATTTTCTTCGCGTTGAAGCATAAGTGCTGCAGATCTGCCCTGGTAGGGGTAAAGCTTCGTGGTTAGACCCGGAACCTGACTCTCTAGCAAGCACTGCATCCCGTCCCGGGTATCAGGATTAGTTTCCAACTCGGGGCGAGGGTCCGGAGAAGGAACATTGTTGAACATGGTCAAGAGGGATGTGAGCTCGCCATCAGGCAGGCCTTCGCCCTGGGGCATTGGCTTCTCATGATTATATTCCTCTCCTTTCCATAATTTCAATGAAAAGTCAAGCTGGGATATGAGTAAGGACATTGCTCTCGTCAGCTCATTTCTAATATCGATACTGCTTCTGTCAACATCCTGAGGGAGGACGTAAACTCGAATGCGACCACTGCTGTTGACATGGGAGATAAAACTAAAAGACATCTGAATCCATCGACTTTGCCATGATCCTATAAATGGTTGCAATATAGGTAATCTCAGGAGTGCTTCCTGTGCTTGACTTGGAAGGCAGGCAGGCTCAGGGATATCATCAAGACGCCGAGAAAAGAACTTCCACGACTGTGGCTTTAATATTGCCCGGGATCCAGGTGATATTAGATTGGTATCATCCACGGATAATTGAAGACATCCAGCAGGGATATATTTGCTGAGCCCTGGGATGTCTATTGTAGGCGCCATTACAGCAGTTGGTGATACAGGAGCCGTGTTAGTGAAAGTAGGACCTGTCCATGGGTGGCCTCGGCGATGGAATTACAACTTGGAATGGCGTTCAGTCCATGTTTAGATCGGAAGATCACGGCGATGCTATTATGAGGATGTAGAAGATGTATAGATACGGAGATGTATTAATGAATTAATGAATAACTGGCTGTCTAGAAGGAAGGTGCAGTCTTGAATAACAGGTAAGATTCATTAGTAAGAAAGAACAAGGGATGTTAAAACTAAAAGGCAGCTGTAAGCCCCAACTCCCCCCCTAATCAGGTATGCATTTATTCTAGTGCAAAGTGTCGCCTAATTTACTATACCGAATCTACTAAACAGTTTAATTCACTTATTGCAGTTATGAGCATCATACTATGTATGTCAGTAATGCTACAAACTTTGCTCCCGTAACTTCGTGTTTATAACACGTCGAACTGAGGTAATTTATAAGCATGTTACTTCGGTTCAAGATTTCGCTATATACGGACTATAACTTCTAATCAATAGGTACAAATAAAACGACCACATATCGGCCGAGGGTATCGAAGAGTGATGCTATGTAAAAGCCATCGCTACAGTGACTAACCCGATGGACTCTCTTAAAATTAATCCATGGACCATACGGATCAAAGAGTAATATAGTGTAGAAAAGGATTTTCTTTTTCCTCTCCCTCATAATCGTAA